GTCGGCGCTAGCTGTAGGGGCTGCTAGGGCTTTTAGCGTTGATCTCCGCGTGGTAAGTGGCGAGAGCGGGAACAGCGTGAGACTACGACCCTAGCACACCTCAACGTCGGATGGATGCCGCTCTTAAGCGTGACGAACTCTGATGCTTCCTGGCATGTGCGAGGAGCAATACGTTCATGCAGGCGCGAATATGGTTGGTCGACAGAGGAACTCCGTAAATCCCATGACGGTTCATATGACGCAACTGTGTACGACGTTTGCTGACTTAGAACTTCCCAACTAGCAGTTTAGGGGTAGGCATTTCCTCAAGTTCGGCCATTACCCTTCAGAAGTCTCCAAAATAAATCTATGGCCGCTCGTAGATGTGGCTGTCGTGCCAGCCACCGGAAGCACCTTTTCATAATGTCCCCCAGAAAGGATGGAAAAGAAGTTTCAGGTGGCTAGCATGGCAAGTTTCATGTGACAAACCAACATTTGATCACAAAACTTCGTCACCCTCACATACAGCTGAGATATCTGCACGGCATCAACCCTTCCTTGTCTACTCTATTTTTCCAAGTTTTTCTAACTTCTCTTAGCAATCAAAACCACCAGTCTTTTCATGCCAATTTTATATGTATTGCCAGAATCTTTGTCAGGAAATTTCACTGATTTTTTTGGTTCTCTGAGGTTGACTTCAATTGATCCGCACTTGATTTCTTCGAATCCAAAGTAATCCTCCTTGAAGATGAGAATTCTGATCGTCCAATTTCAGTAGCACAGCGTGTCGTACCGGTTCGATCATTCTTCCTGGTTTCCGCCACCTTCTTTGAAGAACGGCCAATCGACCGATTGAATGCGCTAGTCTTTTATTGCGGTACATTTCCGTTTGAATATATCATAATCCGAAGCCATTGTGCCCTTTTTCTACGCCTTTCCAGTATTCGGTGTGATTTTTCCTGAAGATGAGAATGAAGGTAACACTTAGAATCCTGAGGTCTCACCACACCAGCGCCATATTAAAGGTAAAGCAAGCGATGAAAAGGTAGCCCATTGTGAATCAAAGTATTAGGCGTTTCAGAAAGTTCTGTCGTTTTTCAACACCGAATTTTAAATGCATGTATCTCGGCTTAAATTGAATCTTTCAAAATGAGTAAAAAAAACCGTTCGAATGCGCGAACCTTCCTCTATAAGAAGCCTTTTCACTGGGTACGTTTATTCGGAATGCTGGAGCTCTGCAGGCGATGAGCTGAGGGAAGGTCGTTTAGCATTATGTTGAGTTTTGATGCCTTTCTTTTCAAGGAAGCTATCGAGATCGTCAGAAATGTGACACTAGATAGACTAGAGGTCTACTAGGTTAGATAGTCGCAGAATCACTCTGTAGTTCAGCTTATCCAACTTGTGAAGGGTTGGCGGTGCGATGTGCGCCCATGACACCTTTAGAGATGTGTCCACCCCTTTATGATCAGTAACGCTGGACACGTTGCTGCGTTGCTGGCGCCCGCTCGAGCAACGACTGGATCCCTTGGGACGTCAAAAGAACACCTGGACGACCGCCGGCCCGATGGTCAGACTTCTTCACGAAAGCTCCGAACGAAAGGAATGATGGACTTCGTGTCCCTCGAGCAAGGAGGATCCACTGGACCACTCTGGCACGCGACAGGGACGAATGGAGACGTTGCTGGCGCCTGCTCAAGCAAATCGACGATCAACGGGACGACAGGTGATACAGGTGATACGGGTGAACGCTAGACACAAGTCTTTGAGTTTTTGGTGGATTTTGACGTAATGATAAGACTGCTTTTCCACTGTGACAGTTCCAGGTTATATGGAAGAACATGACCAGCCGCTGACTTGATGAAAGTTGCCATAACCCTCCTTCAGTGCAGTCTAAGTTCTGCACAGTTTGTAGAGCTTGATCGCCGTCCATCTATTCCGCAAAGCTTTGTGGGCTATAGAGAAGAGTCCGCTCTCTGTACGTCGCAAATCTGAAGAAAAACGAGTCGCTACCATCACGTAAAACAAGCTACAATTTGATGAACGCCCTTATCAAATTTATTTAACTTTCCAGCTACTTCCGTATAGCTTGGCTCCACAAACCATATACGACCAGGTTGGGCAAAACCTCCTCTATGGTTTCACGCCAGGGTCAACCGCTACGTTGGACCGATATTGGAGCGGCGTTGGGCCGATGTTCACCGCTCTCCGCGCCGGCATTCACTCTCGCCACCCGCGAGCTGTCTGTGTCCGTGCGTACGTTCACTCTCGGCATTACTCTCGTCGTCGCGTTGGACTTTGTCCAACGGACGGTTGACCCTGTTTCACGCACAACTGCCTCACTTTTGGTTAGTCGGTGACAACGTCCGATATCTGACGACGACTATTATCATATACAGGGCACTCGCTTTCGTTACAATAACTTTTTGAACTACTGCTTCTTAGCACATTTATTGCGAATCAAAGCCAAGCGCATCGTTATTACCTTGAACTGTTCCCGCTACTTTTAGGTCTATTTAAAGCTAGAAAGGAAAGCCATTCCAACTTGCTCATCGAGTAAACCGCATTCAAAGCTTTAAAAGGCTATAAGAACATGTACTAAGACAAAGCTAAGCTAAGCTTTGGATAGAGCAGGAAAAACTCTTCAAATGATATCCATACCGATTGCAGCTTTCCTGGATTACAAGGAGAATAAAACATCCAATTGTGGAGTGTCAGAAAACAACAGAACTTTTTGAAACAGCTAATAGAATTGGTAAATGGTGCGGGGATAAAACACGCGAAACTGCTTAGATGACGAATAATGAGATCTTTTGTTTGCCCATCCATTCCGCATTGGGGCTGACTGCTCATCGTACTAACCCTTAATGTTAATGCTCTCTCTGCTGAACGACTACAACTATGTGTCATTTGTAACTAGAAGTCATCGCTGTAAACAGCTGGTTGTCAGGTTTACTTGGGGTCGTCGCATGTCGCACGTCGCACGTCCTGAATGGCACACCACTCGCTGCGACTCGTCCGTTGACTGCCTCCTTGCCACGTGACGGGCCTCCTGTCGGGTACCGGAGTTTCTTGGCCGCCAATGCAAGAAATACGTACAAGTCTGTGATAGTCAAACAACTTCATGATCATTCTATGAAGGTTCGACTTGTACATTGTTTCGGAGGATGACCATGCTCAGACTATTGAAATTTATGTATAAAACTACTCGCTCGAACTAAAAGCTGCCCTGGGAATTGAACTGGAATAGATCAAAGAATTATACTTCATCAGAAAATGATAAAAATGCGAGCTAACCAATGTACAGCATCCGAATTTTCTACAAAGCTGTTCATTTCAGGTATGGAATGCTCTGGAAAGTTAGTGACATTTCATATTGCAATGATCAAATATCGAATATTGTTGGAAACAGTAGCGAAGAAATGAATTAAACTGAGGCAGACCCGCTTTCCTCTGGTAATAGTGGAGAATTATGTTGTAAAAGGCGTGCTATGGTGACAGTTAGGTACAGGAGCAATATAGAATTAATAGGAACCCTTTAGAGTATGTAGGAGCAAAGAAATACATCGTTTCACACATCCGTCCACATCACATCGTGAGAAGCTGTACGATAACATCATTGTGCGAAGAAATTGAAAAATTATCTGCTAATAACAAGTGAGTTTCGACAGATACATGCATACTTGTGTTTCACGTGACAGTAAAGTGTGCAAATAAATAATCAATATTTTGTAAAATATAGATCTCGTGATAGTCCTGAGATGTATGACAAGTGAAACAAGTGAAAACGAACGAGCGGAAACACCAATACAATGTGTTCTGATCGATCCTGCTGACCTCTTTCCAGCATGCCATAGCCGTCCAAAATATGATCTATGCGGTTGTGTACGAAAATGGAAAGTAATCCCAAAATGCGTTTCTGATCTACTACATAGTTATCTAGAAGGGGTGATGAGCTCTATACAAGTTCGGTGGGCACGCCCAGCTTTTCACGCATGTCAAGTGACTGCCTTCACCCCCCTCCCCCAGATTGGCTACACTCCCCTGACTCACAAATTCCCGATTCTTGTTGCAGTATAGCAGCAGGCACCAGACTCACTTATACACATTTCTGTTCAGTGCGGCGTACCCACCCTATTTGTATAGCACTGGGTTATGAACATTTTTCCGCGTTAGGCCGATGTCCTTTGCGAATCGCGCGATTCGCTAGAGTCTGCAGTCGCGTCGCGGCCAGTGAATCGCTCAATTGGCTGGTACCGCAACGCGATCGCGGACGCTAGCGAATCGCGCGATTCGCAAAATATGACATCGGCCTAAGGCCCGTGGGCCCGCTATAGGAACTGGGCTACCAACGGGACGACAAGTGATTCCTCGCCTTCTTGTTAGAGGCATGACTGAAGAAGTTGCAAGAGACATGATCCTCACCTTTTTGGAATTTTGGAATTGATTTATATCCTCAGATTTGGCTAGAAATCTCCCCCTAGAAATAGTTTACCATGAAAGTAGACGTAGCAATACTTCTTGCTATGACGCCCGGCGTGTTCATGACGAGTGCAACGCGAAATCGGGACAAATCGTGCCCAGAATTAGGCTCGTAAAATTTCCGCAGCTATAGACAAGCATCAGTGAAAACCGATAGAAATTATCTGAAGTCATTTTATCCATGTTGTCGAAAAAGCAAAAGAGCGATCTCGGCCAGGGCGCTGGGGTCTTCCTTGTAGGTTCGAATTTCTACCATCTCCGCTCTCGTGCTACAGCTCACTTATCCTTCTCTTGACTTATGAGGGCGCCTTCACGGGGTAGAAGCCCGGGTACCACTTTAGAATTCTGTTTAGATAATATCTGCAGATGGCAACAAGCCATACAAGTAGCCACATATCCCATCTTGAACAGCTATGGCAACCTGGGGTACTCCTCTGTGAGCAGCGAGAAAAAGCATCTGAATCAAGAGATATGCATGCGATTCACAAAACTACTATTAAAAAACAGTAGCTATTTTCAGATATGTGGTGAGAGAAGAAGTGTCAAGGAAGTGAGTTCATGCTTTGTTTTGCAGCTTCTAATTGCACTATGAACGCTCTCACTTTCTCCAGTGTTGAATGAACTGTTTCCTTCCGATTTTCCAAGACAAAACGGCCAAGGTTCTTCCATCGGCTCTGCGCTTTCCACACGTTCTCGTTCGCCCTAAGAACACGTCGCGTTATCCTTGGAGCAGTCTGTCGCCCTGAAAATCAAATGCATTCAACGCAGTAGAGAAGGATAGCAGTAGATTTTACATCCTGGAAGTAACTCATTTTGTCTCGATCAAAAAACTCCATAAGGCCGATGTCAGGCTTTGCGAATCGCGCGATTCGCTATCGTCTGCGGTCGCATCGCGGCCAGCGAATCATGCAATTGGCTGGTACCGCGACGCGACCGCGGACGCTAGCAAATCGCGCGATTCGCAAAGTCTGACATCAGCCTAAGGAGGACCATGATTCACTGACAGAGACGGTTTTGTCTCTCTCAGTACGCTTATTTCTGTATTTGCAATACTGGCGCATGAATGAGGTTACGCAGCGTGAAGCATGGTGAAACTTCATACAGACTCGGGAAATTCCTCTAATAAGGATGACATCGGAGATTTGCTACCGACCTTATGATATCCGACTGAAGGCCGAATGGAGAATACTTCTGGGCGCTAACCTATGTAGATGTTAGGGGAGAGAGGGGAGACCATGTGATGGTACGGTGCTCTACTCGTCTGCACATTAAGCCTTAGTCTGCGGTGCCACTGTATTTTGGAAGTGCCACAATTCTGCGAGATGGAGAAGGGCGCTATAAATAAGCCTTAGGCTGCTTTCATAGCTTGCGGTCCGAGCGGGAGAAAGTGAAAAGCGTACTTGGCGCGCAGTCGGCGACTTCCGATCGATAAATTCGGTTTCATTTAACTCTGCTTTTGTTTTTCATGTGTTCCACGTGCCGTGTTGCTTTTGCTCGTGTTTTTTGGCGAGAATCTTTTTCTTTTTCGAGTGAACACTTGCCTTTCAGTTGTCCTAAAAAGGTTACGTTCATACAGTGTGTTTGAAAGTGGCAGCAAGCTCAAGGTGAGTCCATTAGTAAGCAAAAGCAGTAATCCATACAAAAAGGAAAAGTTTCAAGCTAAACAAGCCCAAGTGAAAGCAAAAGGGAACATATAACGCCAAAAAAGGGCAAAATGTATTGAAATTAGGACATCGATCGGAAGGCGCCGACTGCGCGCCAAGTACGCATCGTGCGTCAGAGCGCGTGTTGACGCTTTTCGCTCTCTCCGCGCGATCCGTACGGTCCGCAAACTATGAAAGCAGCCTTAGAGGTAGATGAACAGAGCGCTGCGCAGCCGCATGGTCCTCCCACCTCAACCAATTTATCATCTACTTCTGCTGAAAGAATACGAATGTAATGTGTACGTTAGACAAAACAAATCAAATCGAAAAATGTGCATACCAGCAGGAATGTTGGCAGCGCTCCTTGTGTCATCTGTGCATTCCTCAACTATTGCGTAGTTGCTTTCATCTTCGTGAGCTCGCCGCACCTTCATGAATACCTGCAATTAAAGAGTCGATAGAAACGGAAACTTACTTACTTACCAATTTAGTTACGAACCCACTATACAGGGTGTGAAAAACTACGGTAACAAAATAAATTGATTATAAAAACCAGTGTTGCCGAACAGACTCTAATCAACAACACCATCATATTGATTGAAGGAAGATTGTGGAGATGCGATTGAGTGCCGCTGATGCTAACTTTAAAATCAATTTCGGAGCAGCACCGGAACGGGGAAAAGCGCAGGGAGGTTAGCAGGAAGGAAAGGTCAAATGCTGTTAGTAGGCGTGGCGTGCCTAGAAGTGGGCGGAGTTTGCCGAGAAACTCATGAACTGGTCCAGAGAAAAGGAAAACCCGGACAATGGTTGACGGAGGAGGGAAGGAGCCATTGGTGTGTGGGGCGTGATAAGCGGAGCTACAATCCCAAATTGCTACACGGTTCACAGGTAGTAGGAGATCTGTAAGAAAGGAGACAAAATCTTGCTTGGATTTTGAAATAGCAAATCAAATATTAGTGGTGGGCTAATTTCGAGAAAATATCGCCGGAGAACGTGTGCGGGCCGAACAGCGTGCGGCGCCAACTGATAAATTTTGAAATTTGAAAGAAAAAAATTGATGAAGTAAGATTATTATCAAGCTTTTAGAACCATAAGGATATAGTGGTCGCTCATGTTCCAGATGCCGTTACACAGTGCATAAAATTTTTTCAATGGCAACAACTGTAAGATGGAAACAGTCAGACCTGTCGTATGATGTCGGCTGCCGTGCTATGAACACTAGCTCGAAGTATGACGTACGGTTGTTCTTCGCTAACATTGTGAACGCACACCAGAAAAGTGTTCCCCATACAGCGTGCTAGACGATTGATTTCAGCTAAAACGAGTTGAAACAACTACGAAATATTTTGACGTATGCAAAGAATGAAGTCATTCTAGTGGGTTTTCCGTATAATAATCAAGTGAAGTGGCCCTCAGAGTTTTAATTCCAATTCCAGCACAAATCAGCCGATTGAATTGCGATCATCGAGATACTAGATAATTTTGCACGCGGAACACCCGTTGCAACTTTGGATCAGGAGGCCGTTCTTAAGAGGGTCTATGTGCAATTTTCGTAGCCCTTCTTTATCCGCTGCCACGGCGAGAACTGCAAGATTTTTCGAGATTTTTTTCATATTCGTAAAAGAATGATTTCCTACTTTCCGAAGAGGTTTTCTCTTTGAAAGTGTAGGCCTATTTCAGCAAGGTTGACCAAATCTTCAAAATGCAAATCGCGTATATGCATAGTATATGCATCACCTTCGCCACGGTTCCCTCTTCCTTGAACCTTGCCAAAAGGACCATGTAAAACAGCCATGTAAAAAATAATCCTGACACTAAACCGTGACCTCCTGTTTATTCGCATGATAGAGAACAATCACATCTCTCTAAAGCACAGTCAGAGGATTCCAATTTTTCACGGTATTGCGGTCGTCTCATGTGGACCCCACCACATATGCGCACCCCTCCCCCTCAACTCCGGCATTGTTGTTTTTTCTGAATCTGATGCTGTTGTCAGCTGCGAATTATTGCGTTTATGACTACCGCAAGAACAATATTCAAGCCTCATTAAAAAATGGTGACACTTCAGTTTTGCTGATTTGTTTCTGAAGCGTACCTAGTCGGCAGGATTTCGAGTCTAGATAATTCCTGCGAAACGGGTCATGGAAATATGATTCTTTACGAACCTCTCGGGTAGCACTGGACAGATTATTCACGGAAAACCATCGCGAAAGCTAACATTATTTTGGGCTCTTCAACACGTTTCAGAGAATCTTTCTCGATTCAACAAATGAAAATACAGCATGGCGGATCACTCCATTGTGTTCTCCAACAATTAAGCTAAGAACGCTCGCTCACGACACGCAATCATTAATTTAAAGGCAAGATTTAGGATTAAATTGATGACGTAATTCTACTCAAATTATGAAATAGGGGTGGGAGGGGACCGCCAGTGCAGAAAAAAGAAAAAAGACGTGAAATACACAGAAAATACAAGCATTTTGCTAGCGTACGTAGCGTTGCGGAAAAGTTCTAAAAGCTGACAGGGAGATGAGAGATAATGTGAGCGCAGAGAGCGGTAGAGAAGTCCCAGTAGTATTTGATTTTCAGCCAGTCAACAAATAAGCATAATTCATTCCAAAAATTTTGCATCTGCTTTCACTTCAGAGTTCTACCTCTCAGCAATGACTAACAATTTTTCGAATAGCTTCAAACTAAACTCACAAGTTGCTCCTGCTTCAACATTTTCGGCACCATTAAGTTCAGGACGGCTGTAGAGATTAACACTTGTCATGCTTTTTATTTGTTCTTCTCTCGCACTTTGATATGGTGACGGTGGCGCTGATGTTCCAGCTCCGCTCTTGATAATTGACGTGATCCATGTTCTCGATGATAGATCCTTAACAACGAAATAGAACACGCAGTTTCTAGCATCATGATAATCATTAGAAACTCAGCAGTGCGCAAAATAATACAACCTAAGACTCATACAGCATCGTCGTTCGTAAAAACAACGTAGTGTTGTGTAGTGTAGCTAGCACGCTGGGCATAAGACGAGATGTGATATGCAAGGCAACGAAAACCAATGAGAAAGCAAAATAAAGAGATCACTAAGAAAAACGCGCTTTATTCCTCCCACGTATGACGTGGTAATAAATATTATGAAAACTCATGCTCAAGAATCTGCCACTAGGCGCTGAGGTGCACATCATTCTGTATGACAAACTAGTCCTGTTATTCTCTGATGTCGCCGATCCAGAGCACGGGTCGTGATCAAATTGGTGTTTTTTTCGAAACTTAGACTAGAAATGCGTTAAGGAACGCTAGTGAAGAGAACAAGCAAGAAGTGTTCTAGAAAACTCGAAAAGACCTTGTGAAGTTGGCTGTGGCATGACTGACAGACACAGCGCTTTGAGTAGATGGAAAATGCGAGAGAGCATGCCGAAATAGAGAGGGCGCAGACGCCACGTACGCCGCGATTGATAAGGATGGCAGCGATCGAAGCGGTCAAGCGAAGACATTAGCTCTGTTTTCGCGCACTTACAAGCGCCAGTATCACCACTCCTTTGATTGAGGATCCTACTACCTAAAGAATTTCATCGAGGACATAATCGCGACCCGTGCCCTTCAATGAAGTGGTGGCGGTTGAAAAGTCTGCTCACTGCACTTCAGCTCTCCTCAGCGCAGCAGCAACTCTTGACAAGAACAACGCCAAGGCTCCGTAAAGCGGTGCACAGAAAACAAGCAGTTCGTAAAGTATCTCATGCAGCTCGTTATGTTACACGGCAAACATTCTCTGACATCCATTTCCAGGCAATCTTCTTAGAAGCGCAAGTCGATGATTCTGGCATGCAAGTGACTTACCCATTGAACTGGATTGGTGGTGTAAGTACTTCGTGCGACAGGAGAGGGAGAACTTCATGGGATTTATTCGAGGAGTTGCATGAACATAGAAGGACAAAAAATTTTGGCAGAAAACAGAAGCGGGAAACACATCTCAGTAATGCAGAAAGATTGCGCAATTAAATCGCTCCGGAAAGTTGAACATAGGAGAAAAGAAGAACAAGTAAGGAATGAGATTATAACTCATATAGTCTGCCTACTCGTGTACTTAGATATCAATGATTATATGCCAAGTGATTAGCAAATGAAACACGGTCACTTCGGTGTTGTATGCAGTGGATATGAGAGAAAAAAAGCATTCGTTGCATTTCGAAACAGAAACAGTTAGACCTCAGACTGAACTGACTGATTGTCAGGGGATGACTTAGCAGTTGTGTTGAGTTTACGTGTTGGTTTAGTGAGTTTTCGTTTTTTCTTGGATCTGACTTCACTCACGCTGCCTTTCTTTCGCAAAATGAATCGACGAGACGATCCATTCCAACATGCAACAGCGTCCATAATCGGCTCATTGGGCGACAAGATCTGAATAAATGAAGCGCGCGTGAAGTGTGCAAGAAAGAGGCCACAGCTAGGGTCAACCGTGCGTTGCGAGAGGAGGCCCTTCGCACGGCGAGAAGGCAGAGATGCAGATGGTTCAGCGGACGAGTTGCAGCGAATGTGACTTGGGGGATGTGGGACTTAAAGGCAGCGATTACTATAAATTCAAGAAGGGCTGAGTGGCAGGGTCAGTCCTATAGTTGTTACTTTTTCAAAAATTTACGACCCCCCTCCCCCAATGTGGAATCGGTACGACCCCCTTTTCGACCCTCGACCACCATATTCCTCTATAGTATTTAATACTGGTACCACTCAACCCACCAAACTCCGCGCACTTTTTCCTCCAAAAATGCCGTCGAGCGGGGAGGTATATACGCGCGCTGAAACGCTGAATTTTTCTCCCGTGCGCTCCCAACTCACCTAGCCTACTACTCGTAAAAACTCCACTTTCACCACAAACTCACATGTGCTTTCACGCGACTGAAACGGATACGACCCCCCCTCCTATAAACTAAACCGGGTACGACCCCCCCGTTGTTACTAGTAACAACGTAGGGTTGACCCTGCATAGTGGGACTTTGTGGTGCTGAATGGTACGCAAGTAGCGAAAAAAAGTAGAGAAATTCGTCAAGAAACCAAAACGGAACCCCCCCCCCTTTTTTTTGTCGTTCATTTTCTCTCATGAGCAGGTAACAGCTAAGAAAGTGGACATATTAACGAGTTCACCGCAACACATTCTTTCGCATAATGCCATACTGGCGGCGGAGCGCTTTCCTCCTGCACAGCAACCAGCGCACCTTTCATTGTGAAAGCGCCACACCTCGCTTCCCTGGCAACCAGTAACTGATTCGTGTGGAGCATATGCTCCCGATATGCCCCCTCTTTATCGTAATCGCTTCCTTTAACACTTTGGAGACCGCGCGTGTCTTACGTTCCGCGGCCGCGCGGGACTTCGGTGAAATTTTTAGGGATCTTATCTAGCAAATTCAAAAGAAGAACCTACGTATAATGCAGAAGGAATCTTGTCGAATAAAATGGAAAAGAAAACGAATGGAAAACCTAATAATTGTGTACGAAATGCGAGCAGAAAGGTCCTATGCGGTTGGAGGACTGCAGCCCACATATGGGCTGCGTGGGCTCCAAGGTTTTAATATAGTAAATTCTGTTAAACTTGATGCTAAACCGCTACAATACGCGTTGCGACTTGTACGCTGTCTTCTGCGTCTCTGCCTTTTCGCCGCGCGCCGGGCCTTCTGTCGGGTACCTTCTCCTTAATGCATTTTGCGTTGCTGAGAGGTCCATATTTGGGGTTGGTAGAGGTTCAAAGGATGGAAAGGGAGGGTCGTCGTATTTTTAGAAATTGAAATGGTCGTTATGATCCTAGGAGGGTTCTCGAAAATTTGGGAAAATTATGAAAAAGCGAGCATTAAAGAAGTAGGTTTGGCATATGTCTTGGGCATGGTTATTCATTCCCCGTTCCCGCTCTCCCGCTCGACGGCCGCGGCCACTAAGGGTCTCAGAACCGAACACTATAGAAGGAGCCATGATGTGGGTGGTGATTGGGGGGGGGAGTGGTCGTATCAGGAGACTTACTTAAGGCTAATGATGGTGGTGGGGGTCATATCGAACTCACCCCCCCCCTCCTAGATGGAAGGGGTTCATACTTTTGGAACTTGATCAAGGAACGGTTGACTCTGGCTACAACTTCATCTGTAACAATCTCTACCGTTTGCTCGACTGGATTTTCTCCACTAGGCAGCGCCGATTCCTCGATTAGGACATACTCATCCACCTGCTCGGCGTTTTTACCAGAATTCAAAAGAGCCTTAACAAATGGTTCGCTAGTTATACTAACAGTCCAACTGCAAGATTGAAGAAAAAACAAAAATAAGTCTTGGCAGTGCAACACTTATAAACCTGTTGCATTATGGCTTTCACAGTGGTGTCGCTTTCGCCATATACAGTTGTGGAGGTCTCATCAGCAAATGCTCCGATCACTTTCATCACGAATATTTGCCTTTTCAAAAGCGGAGCCGGAGGCGCTTGTGAAACCTGTAAAGTAAAGGCAGTGGTCACAATAGCTGGATTGCGGTGCGCTTCTGATGGCGTCATTGGGCGTCTTTGGTGGACCGGATGGGGGCGTGGTTAAGACTATCTGCAAACGTCCTTCCACCAATCACACTCAATGGCTTCACCAAATCGCTCCGCCTTTCAGCCATCGTGTTCGCTGTCTTTAAGGAGATGATTTGTGTAAAGATGAAAACAGACGATACTTACGAGATCAGTTCGGTATGCAAGCACGTGATCAATATTGTAATACGAAGTGTTGTCTTCATCGTGAAGGTAAATGTGTTCTTCTTGCTCGAAACGTGTCCTATAACATTTCATTCCAGTTATCATATGAATATTCTTGGAATAGCCTTGAACGTGAACAACGTAATCAATTATCGATTGCAATAGCTAACGATTGATTGTGACATTTTCAGGCCTACACCGATTTCAATATATTACTGGCATGCCTATTTTGCAAAAGCACACGGCGAGGTACTCCTATCATATCTTTGCAGAGCATTGCAGGGTGTCCCATATATTGCACCAAATTTTGAGCTTAAATTCTGTAGGTGTTTAGACCTTTTCTTCCGAGATTGGCAGTCCATTTAATCCTCTATCCTTTTCTTAATGACCATGAAAAATTCCACGGCTTAGCGTTCGGTGCCCTTTATATGTTTCCACTGTGATATACAGCTACTGTAGTAACCGTACGAAACACTTGAGGCAGGTATGGGAGTTTAAAGGTACAACCCAGGCAGAAATCGTGTGAAAGGTACCGATTGAACCCTAGAGGACAATAACAGATGTGGCAGTCCAGTGCACGGATTCACGCTACAAGGGTGATAGGGTCTTGCAATAAGTGCTGCAGTAGCTGCAATGTTTCTAGGCTGTTGTTTGCTGCACCGTCATTTGCAGCGCTCCCTCGCTTCATAGTCTCCTCTCCGCGCTCAGTCTCTAATTGCCTTAGCACAGCCGCATTACTGAGGTGAGCAAGCCTAACCTGAGCCTTCTCGACGGGTTCTTTTTGTTCTCTTTAGTACTGGCTCCTTGAGCACCAATGCGGGTGCTAAGTGAGTGGAGGGGAGGAAGCTATGCGGCGGCGTCGTTTCTCAAGCGCGATAGGACATAGCCTGGGACTGTGAAAGAGTGGGTAAGCTAAGAATCGAATTTTGGCACATTTGAGCCTTCTCATAGGCTCAGAGTCAGTGCCATTGCGTTTGAGAGACGCCGCTTTGCTGAGTGGTCCCCCTTCCCCCCAATCTCACTTAGCACCCCAATACGGAGCGCGGCTCTAATGAGTCCATACCTTGCTCCAGAGCTCAATGGTCTTCTTCATCAATAATTCACTTCGGTTGAGATTTTCGGCCCGCCCTTCCCTTACTGAAACGCACAGAGGGGCATCTAAATGTTTTAGTCTCCGTCTAAGCGCACATGCGAAATGAATTTTTCGAATACCCGCCCTTCGATTGAATTCCAAAAGAATGAAGAGAACACCTCGACTAATCAAAAGCAACCAGAAAAAACACCATCAAAATGTGTTTCACTTATTTCGCTACGATTCAATAAATGGGACGGATGTGGAGACCTCAAAATTTCAAATCTTGTTCTGTTTGAAAAAGCAAAGAAAAACACACTGCGCCAGATTGAATATGCAGTTTTAATCAAATAATATCAAAGAACGAACCGTAGGAAAAGAGTAGCGCATTCAATTGGTTGATTGGCCGTACTCCTCAAGGGAAGGTGACGAAATCCTGGACGAATACACCGAACTGGCACAACACGCTGTGCTACTACGCGGCCGTTCTGACTACTGAAATTGAATTATTCAAATTTCTACCAAGGAAAATCACACAAGAATCTAAAAAAAAGATCAGGCTAACTAATCAAAATCAATTTTAGAAAATCAGATAAATTCAGTAAAATTCCCTGACGAAAGTATCCGCACAATCAGGGAGGGGGGGGGGGAAGAGGAGCGGCGGAAAAAAAGACTTCTGTTGTCACCTTCATTGTGAAGATGGAAAAGACTACTCGGCAGATAGCATGAAAGGCACATCTACAAGCGCCCATAGATTTATTATGGAAACTTCAAGACGAAAAAGGCCGAACTCATGGATTCGCCTACCTGTCACAAACTGCTAATCGGAGAAAGGCCAAGTCAACGAATGTAATACGCAGTTCTGTCGTATGAGCCCACAACGGATTTACGGAGTTCCTCTGCACGACTTTAGTTCTCTCCTTGAATGAGAAAAGCATCCAAAAATACAAGTGAGCGGTACAGAACAAAAAAAATTGCTGCTTCACTTACTTTCACACAATCACAAGGTATTCCGATCACTTCAATCTCCACATACAGACTCGCATAATGAAACCCGGGGTAGACATGCTGCCCAGATATAACCTGAAACAGACCATAGGGTTGTGTTTGTCCCTGTTCGATTGTGTTTCATGCCAACGTCAGCGTCTACCGGAAAATTTGACGGACAGCTCGATCAAGGAAGGAATGCTGTATAAAATATCACCAGTGAAGTATAATACACCCGATCACAAACTGTGTCCTCAGTTGCGATCCAACACAAGTCATACAAGAATTCAAACCCCATGCACTAAGACTCTTTGGGCCTCAGAGCTCATCCACGACACATCCATGAGTCCTAGGATGAATAATGGTCGAGGAATTGCTCGACCATGGCTCTGTATTGTGTGGCAAGTGTCGAGAGCAAATGTGCGCGCGGAGAGCACAGACGGCTCGCGCGGGGTGAAACTGAATGTCCTTGCGGGAGAGCGCGACTGAACGGGCGGAAATCCACGACTAGGCGAAGAGAAATCCTCGACCGATTCACATTGACGAGTCCTCACAACTCGTTCAATGGTTAAAGGGATCTTTCACGGAAAAAGCTCCGCCCTCATTACCACAGAAAACGAAAACTTAAAGGAATCTTCCACGAAAAGAGTGATCATTTTGTCTTGTGTGTAGGATTAGTATTATAAACTAACGCTTATGGTCCGTTCTGTTTGCTATGCTTATGGGCCTAAGGTATCGTTTTTCTGTGGTAATGGAGGCGGAGCTTTTTTCGTGGAAGATTGCTTGAAGGTTTAGAACCAGTGCCAGCGTTGCAAATAAGTCAGTGAACAGGACACGTCGCGACCAAAAGGTAATTTTTCGAAGAAGGCGGCCTCTGACTGGACGTTAAAGGAAAACTGAGATCATCGCGACCCGATGATTAGCCTCCTTTGTGATAACTCGGCACGGAGGAAAGGAGGTACTTTATGTCCCTCGCAATGAGAATCTACTGGAATACTCTGGCACACGACAAGAAAAGAGGCGTTGCCAGCTCGAGACGGAGGGGTTGATGATTCAAACAATGAGAATGGTGATCTAATTGAGTAGTACTCATCGCCTTTAATATGCAGTCTATATTCAGAACCATTGTCCTATCCTCTTATTATCATATATCTTTATTCTCTTTGTTTTAAAATTCTTGCACAGATTCGTGAGGATCTGGCAGACCAGTATCAGAATCTATTTGCTATAGACCTGCTTTTTCAGTGAAGTCTCCACCTGTTCCGCCCCTCAATTCTTACTTTTCCTCTTTTTAGTAGGGATTCTACGACAGGAGGTCGAAAAAAGGAAAACATACTATTCGAAAGACAGGCGGACCTCCTGTTAATAAGGGTGCGGGAAGTTGCGCCATGTTCTGCGAAGGATGAGCCCGCAGCGGCCAAGCAGGGCTGTACCCGCGCCGCTGCCCACCCATCGGCTAGCTAGCCCCTCACCGTCGGACTCTAGCAGTGGGGCTTACACGTTGAGCAGAGACGAAGATCAAATCGCTCGCATTGGTGACGTCAGCATCAATGAGACGGCTCGAATGCGGAAATCAATGGATCGAAAAAGGGGTCCCATTTTCGGATCTCGCCGTTTTCTCGTTTTTTTTACCATTGCATCACTGACCATCTCTACCTTGATTTCTAATGGGCTACCTTCTAGAAGAAATCTCAAGTTTCAATGAGATTTGTACGAATATAACAGTTTCGCGATCGTGGGGACATAGAGTACCTACGATCGGATTCCTGAAATGGGATCGCCTTGAGGTCTATGGAGTTTTCAAACTACACTTTTTTGCTGTGGTTCATCTAAAATGGAAGCGCAGTGCCTATCCTAGTGACACCATAAAAAATGTGAGATCCAGGGATAAAAAAACAGATCGGCAAAATGAAGCATACCGTAAGGCTGAGAATTATTGCGGAGCTATTCACTGCATCTTTTGAAAGCGGGTTGAACCTCCCATGAAGTGGATGTGTAGCATCCCACAAAACGCGAGGTTTCTGTTGAAAACTAAATATATAAATCCTTTTCTGCATTACATCAATAGCTGCTGCAAATGCACTAGCTGTCATCAACCACTCACCCACAACAACCGCTTTGCTCAAACATAGCCTGATTGACTGCCATGATAACATCAGGCGTTTGAAAATTCAAAGCCACCATCTTCATGAAAAGAACAAGTAGATGTAACATAAAAATTGACTTTTAATAAATGATTACCTGCAATCCATGTGCCCAACAGATGATAGGATTGAAATTCGATGAGTCGTAGTGTTTTGCAGACGGATACGTGCGGATTAGCTTGAAAAGGAATTTCCACTGACTTGAAAACTTTGGTCATACAAACCTATTCTGATAGAAACTTACGTGATCGCGTGTGTAGGAAATACATTTGAATGGATGCCGTTTGATCAGCTTCTTTGCGGCGTTTTCATTAAGTGACGTAACTTGATAACAAGAGGCTGAGGCATTGGGCCGACAACCAGAACCCAAAAGCGATTCCGATGACACACTATCCTGCTGAAGCAGATACTTATAAGTAAAATCGGATAAATCCAATTGTACGATAATACGATTAGAGAATAGGATGAAGTTGTGGATAACTCAAGGATTTGTACTACATCTGAAATTCTACTCCAACTAGTGTAGCACGAGTTAGAATCAGGGTGAACCTTAGTAGTTTTGGCTCCTTTTCAGAACTCAACCAATCCCGTTTAAGGGCAGTGGTCAACCGGATGGCTTGGTGATTCAGCGTTTTGTAGTGTACTCTGGGACTCCCGCAACGCACACTATTACAGCATCTCTGCTTTCTTTCCTTCTTTTGAAAGGCTTAGTCCCAGCAATGCGCTTTTCCGTCTGGACTCGCACTCGTTGGTTGACCGCTGCCCCGTAACCAGATAATCCTCGACCATGGCTCTGCACTAACGATGAGTGAGAACAGTGTCGAGAATGAATGTAGCGCGGAGTGTACAGACGGCCCGCGCGTGGTGAGAATGAGTGCCCGTGCGTGGCGGGAGCAGAGTCAACCCTGCGTTGCGCAGTGCGCAACGGCACGTTGAGAGATCCTCGACGCACGCTGTATTGGCGGAGACGCAGACGGCTCGAGCATGCGAGTGTGGATGTTCGCGCGAGAGAACGTGTCTAATCGGGCGAAACTGCGCAACGTGGCCGTTGAGAACTGCGCAACGCAGGATTGACTCTGGGCGGGAGTGAATGTCCGCGTGTTGGACGTGAAAGCAGGTGAAAATCCTCGACGAGTCACCGACTCCACCCTGCCCCATTCCCTCCAGAAAAGTTTTGATTCGATGTCTTTCACCATCTCCACCATCACTCTCCACCATCTCCACCATCTCATAGATCAGTCGACACGCTCCAACTGGGTTCTGACTTTGCCCATTACATGGCTATTTTTTAAATTTTCGTCAAAATTTATCAGAGCCCCTAAAAACAATCTCCCCTACCCTCAACCAGGACCCGTCAACTAACTGCGACAATTACGACCCCCGCCGTTCGCGTATTTCTGGAATATGATACAGTGACCAACCACCAATACAACCCCTCCTTCCCCATCGGTGCTTTCACCGAACGATCGACCCTGCTTCAGATTGTCACACTGCTAACACTTCATCAACCAGCTGTACACCCTCTTGTGGAAAGGGTCATAGAGGACCAAACCAAATAGCGCATAGCAAAGGCTTTCGAGGTCTCTGAATATCTGACCTGCGTTGACGTGCGTTGTCTCCGTAGCGGTGCAGGAGTACTGAGAAGATTAGAAGTAGTTCGCGGGCGAGAAGACGACAAAGATGGAGTTGATGAAGGATCGTCAATTGGACGTGGTGGAAATCGGTCCGCATCAGATGTAGGAAAACCCTGGCAACATCAGTAGCTACATGAATTGCAACGAAAGAACTGGAATACACAAGAGATGCTACCTTGAATTTAGTGGCTTGCAAATACACAACGATGTCAGAGAGCTCTGGCGCAATTTGCAATCCAGCATTAATTTTTCGTGCAAGTGTCCTTGAACCAGAGCTGACAGACATTGGTGAGTAAAGGATATCATCATCAGTGGTTTTCGAGTCGAATATCTGCAATAGGGACGTATTGATCAAGGTTCAGAAAAATGAGACACTGAAATGAACAAAAATTGATACCCCTTTATGGCCGATGCCTTGTTTATTTGTTGTATCGCTGTGCTCGCTGATGGAAAGGTCTTGCTTCACGGTATCGACCGTCTTCGGTAAAGATTGGCTGCTCTGAGGGCTCACTTCTGGATGACTTTCAGTACGCACACCGATTGCTGGAAAACCATAAGATAATTGACTATGCACATTATAAATGTAATCAGTTGCAGCCGCACGCTGTTGTGCTCGCTGTGCGGTTCTTTAGCGACATGGAGGTGCGGCCAAATTTCTCAAATTTAGCTCGATCCACCACAAGCATCTGACATGTATTTTTTGCTAGTTTCTACCTGCTTTCCTTCCAGCCTCCGTGCCACCTCTAGATTATATGCAAATCGAGAACTCAGCTTCGCCTACTTTGGCGCATGCCTTATACAGGGGGGGGGGCAATAAAAAAAAGACATTTTGTCTCCACTTCCAGATGGATTTAAGCACATTTTGCTCTATTCAGACCGAGTGGTCCCAACTTATTCTTAAGAGCGCATTCCATTCTGTAAGAAAATCTTTATGGTGGTCACCTACGTGGACGGCATCAGAAGAATTCGCCCTGGAAACATGGCACTGGTCGAGCTCAATGGGGTCTTCGAAAGGATCGTGTGCATAAGACCTTCAGTGGAAGCTAATTCCGAAAGGATTTCCCAGTGGTAGCTGATGCCTCTTGAAAACTATGCAACATCAAATCGATTCACGAACTTGCGTAAGAGCTTCAGGCCGAAGCTCTTGCGTTAGACCTCCTTGAGCCTGACGACGGTGACAGATGACGTCATATTCAGAAGACGGTGAGGGCAGTGAGGGAGGGCCTGCGTTCACTTATAGAGGGATACTTAGGGAATACTCTGCTAAGGAACTCCCTTTAACGACAGCAATCTCTGCGAAGAAAAAAGAGCCGAAGTCCGACATAGGCAAAATGTCTTTTCCCCCCCCCCCTGTATACTAGCGGCTTTTGAACTTCGTTACTTGTCTCTAAACACAATTTGCCGCTTTCTGCGTCGTCTCCGAGGCTAATTGCGATTTTCGTGGGGGACCCCGCCCACTACGATGCACACCCCGCTCGCTCAGGCCGAACCTTTTCTTAATTGACAACCTGCATACGCTTCCCCGGTCTCTGGACCGTTTCCGATTCGAATTTCGAGATTACTGGTCAACTCCTACCAATTCGGCGCACAATCCGCCCACCACTGGCTCTTGCGCTTCACTCCTTTGCCAACCTCTCGCCACCTTTTCCCTATATATGGCTTCTAGGTGCGAATTATGAAGTTCCGTGGCAAATCTCGCCACTCTTGTGCATAAGCCAGCAATGCTAGTCGACATAGCTTCCTTCGAAATCCTCTATCTATTTTCCCCTGGCTTCTGGGACGTCTCGGATGCGAAATATGGTTTTTTTAGGAAACGGTGCCACCTAATGACACGCTCCTTCTACTGTAAGCTGGCCTCCGCTCGCTCCAAATACGCTAGGAATACCTGAGACAGTGCTATCTCCATCAACATTTTCTGCTCCGTAAGCTACCCCCAGAACAAGTTAGCAATTTTTTTTGCAGTGCCTTTTCAGAGAATGGTTCGCCCACCCCAAGTGGGTTCCTTTATTTCTACTTGGCAACTCAACGCCACCTTAATCCTCTTTTTACCGATCTTTAGGCTGTATTTGAATCACTGAAATTTCCGTCGTCAGTACTGCTCATTTCGACGCATACCCCGTGGGCAGGACCCCGCTTAGCGAATCATGTTCTGCACTTAATGAGACATGTTTAACCTCCAACGCTTGACTCAGTCTCTTCAAGTGTCTGACAATACTAAACTCCGTGACAGACATATAAGCAGATAGACAAACCGACCGACCGACAAACGAGGTACTTTATAGTAAGTAAAAGTAATATTACGCATCATTGTATTTCAGTGCCCATATTTCATTCGCCGCCATTGTGAATATAAAATTTTGTCCGTGATAACTTTGAGTGAACCTTACCTTCTGTGTCGTCGTCATCGTTTTCTTCGTCATCTAGAAATTCATCCAAATCGTCGTCCTCTACCTCATCTACCATACTAAAAATCTTTACATTGACACCTAGAGAGTGAGAAATTTATAATCCACTGTTATACTGCGACTGATTTCTGTGGACAATATTAGCAGAATATGCTTGTAATCCGTGTGGGGAGGTAGACCAGTCACAGACAGGGATAGAGTTCGTTTGGTTGGTTGGATCAAATATGTTAGCTTTTCGGTCAGCTACGTTGGAGGCGATTGCAGAGAAGTAATTTAAAAAAAAAGATGCACCGCAAAATCACTCCAAGACTGAAAATTAATACAAAGAACCAGCTCTACACCCTGTTGAGCGAGCCCATCGACAAACCCGCACTCCGTGGGACTATGCGGCCGCTGACTTCTGCCATTCCTACTGTTCACCTTCTCATTTGGACGATATGTTAACTTCCTGGAGTTTAGTGAGGAGAAGAAGCAAAAGCACTATAGAACACAATAAATGTTCCTTTGTGAAGTCGGCCGTGGTATGGCGAAGAGACACAGCGCTGGAGGAATGTTTAACACAAGAGAGCACGCCGTATGTGAGAGGACGCAAGCGCTACGTATGCTGCGCTTAAGAATGCAGCACTGGCTAAAGGTAAGGCAAAGCCCTAGCGCCATGTCGCGCTCTTGAGTCGGGACAGCATCGTGACTTTACGCTTGAGGACATCTTATAAGTATAAGTATAAGTATAAGTTTATTACGTCTGCATATGGCAAGCGTGAGGAAAAAAACACAATTTAACTTCAACACCTATACAAACAACCAATTAAACCAAACCAGAGATAATGTGGTCTATTAATCAGTCTCAAAAAACGTTAGGACTCAGCATTGCTTTGAAACAAATGAACTACACGGCGTTTGAATTGTGCAAGCGGTAGTGAGGCGGGTATGTTTTTCACTAATCTCAAGTAATCACTGCCGGCCCTGAAAGGGAAACTCCTTGCTCGTAACTTAGTTTTAGGTCTTGCCAACGAAATTTTCACAGAGCCTCCTCTAGTCCTCGAACATGTTAGCTTGAAGATATTGCAGCCGTGACCACACATTCCCTGTATCAGTTTATGAACCATGCAGACATCAAAAACTCTGTGCCTTAATTCTAAAGATGTCAGCCCCAGATAACGATTCCTGATAGCTGCTTTCGGTGCTTCTACTCAAAAGGGTGAACACTGCTCGAAGATTCCTCAACGGCATGTCGAGGATCTTCGTCTGATCCTTTAAGTTCTCGCGCGCGAACACTCACTCTCGCCACCCGCGAGCCGTCTGTGCTCTCCGCGCGTACATTCACTATCGGCTGTACTCTCGCACAGCAGAGAGCGATGGTCGAGGAATTCCTCGACCTTTATTCACCATGCTTCTCACTCGTGGGAGGACAGGCCCTTGGCCCTTAAAATTATCCGCGCCTTTGAAAGCTGTTCTCATATGACATCACACTTGAGATCAACCTACATTATCGGAGTCAGAAAAGAGGACAGAAACTTGGAGTACTCATCGGGCTCTTGAGCTTTCTGTGACTTGAATTTATACTATCGTTTTTCAAAAGAAACTCTGGCACGATAATGACAAAAGCATTGGGAAGCTTCTCGAATCTGGATTAGGGCAGGGAACCACCGCACGAGCGCTGTCTTTCCGTCTCGGGATTTCTCACAAAACGGCATGCAACCGAAATCCTTCCATGGAGCCCTCATTAACCGCATGACAACAGTAATCCTTATTAATTAACTTTTCATGGCAAACAGAAGAATCTCGCTGACCTGCTTTCATAGCTGTTTTTGCTTTGTTTCCTGTAAAGGCTTGACTGCGTTACACTTTTTTGAGAAGGTGGGTCACTGTACGGTATCGGCATCGGCACATCAACTTCAATGAATACAGTAGGACATGAGCAGAGACAGGCAACAAGAAACGGGTTACTCACCAATCATTTTCTTGTTCTTGATAAGAATCTTATTCCTCAGCTGCCAAGGCGAGGGCAGATGAGGTGAGTCGGAAAAATCGGCTTCAAACAAGAAATTCGATACCAATTTGTCTCCGAGCACGGTCTAAATCAGTATCAATACATAGATTTTGACGGGAGCGTTATATTATTTTCAGCACAGTAAAAATTTGAAAAAATGCTGTGATTAATGAAAACGGAGAAGTGCGCTAAAAGAGAAACCGAACTCATTCCAAAAACGCGCTGTGCAGCCTTCCGAATACTATAAAGGGCGTCTTTGGTTCGGTTCCTCGTAGTGACAAACTTTTGCTTCACGAGCTGACGCTTCAAAATTCGTGCAAAATGGAGTTAGCATGAACAGTGACTGGCATATTCGTAATTTGGACCGTCACGTGGACCGCTTACCACGCGAGCGGTCCGGGGATCAAATCCTGGGTCGTGAGTCGCCTGGGCCAACCAAGCCTTCCTTCCCTCCGGGGTCGGTAAATTGGTACCAGACTTGTCTGGGAGTATAAAAACACTGACTTGTACATCGGCTGGCCCCCGCAAGTCATTGTATAGGCCACATCGCATTCAAATGCCACTACGATGTACAAATGGAAGTAGAATGCGTGCCGCATCCCAAAAAGGGATCCTAAGGGTTACTGACTGACCTAATCAAGAATATGGCATCTATTGTTTATGCTAATTCCATTTTGCGCGAATTTTGAAACGTCAACACGAAACGCAAAACTCTGTTACCACGAGGAATCGATCCAGGGACTCCTTTTTCTGGTATTTGGAATGCTGTTTAGGAAAAATTGACCATGGTTCTGTGGTTTCCGCAAATGCCCCCATATCATGCAAAAGACCCTTTCGAAAAAGCTCGGCACCCTTTGGAAGACCTTCCTGGTTAGTGCAGGAGACTACGTGCCTGTTGGAAAAGGCAGGTAACCCATTCCGAATAGATCCATAACTAGGCACAGCTGCTTTTAAAGCCACGACTTAGGATTAGGTGACCATAGAAGGCCTTTCCATCACTAATATTTCCAGGAATGCGCTCAGAGGGGTGATGCCACACCCCTGACTCGAAATTGCGCGCCGTCAAGGCCTTTGGCCTACTATTACTTACAGCGATGGGTTCGTTTCATCAGCTGGTCCCGCCCACCGCAGGATGTGGTGCGTGGCTGGCCTAACGTGGGAGATCAGGTAGGTTGATCGCCGTACCAACCGATGGAACGGCTGGCATATCCGGAAAACTCGTTTGGACGTGGCTTTCCCTCGAGCAAACCTCCTTCACTGCTAGAAGGGAAGGGATTTCGATATCGGTCTTGTCGACGGTTTCTTTGCGTTTTTCTTCACTGTCGTTCCACCTCCCATCTCCACACTCAATTTCAGGCGCCATAATGCCCAAACACGAGCCTCACTTTTGCCTTTAAGGGTGCTCCTGCGCTTTTGAAACGCGCTGTAGTTTAGCAGGCACAGATGTATGTGAAAAAAGTGGAGTGGTTTTGTACACTTGTACTGGGATATAAAACAACAGTTGTAGCTGCGCACGATACCGCAAATCACTATGTGCTGAACGACGGCTGCTCCTGAGCTGAACTTGGATCAAGCCCCCACTACTTTTCGTTTTTAACGTCCTTCATGAGAAGCGACAATTTTGAATGGTAGCGTGCGAATCCATCAAACTATTGCATGGAACAAAAAATTCGGATTCCGAAACAGCACAAATTCAGGCAATATGAAGCAACCTAATATTTTCCTTTGGCATCAATCACCTGTAAGCAAGATGACATTTCTATCCGAGTCGACTATAGTATTTCAACCAATCTATAACCCGTTATAGTGAAACCGGCGTTTCAAAACTAAGTACGGAAGGGCTGCTGGGCCAAAACTAGCTCCTTAGCTACCTGACGTCGACTCGCCATTAATTGGCTTCCATTCCTGATGTAGGAGGTGACTCCAAGTGTAGGAAACCATTGTGATAAAGTTTTCTACTTTTGCGGCAGATATTCGGCTTCTCGTGGCGGAACCTTTCATATTTTGAGCTGCAAAACAGCGCGGAGATTAGTGATGATTAACACTCTCACAATGTCCTTCACCATCAATCACCCTTCCCAATTATGATTAGGTACGAGAGTGGCTTTGAAAATTTTCGTGTTCTACAGCTCGGTAATTTTCGCGCCGCGGGAGAAGTATTCCATGTAAGAGTTTCTGCTAAATCTGATTCTAGAGAACCTTTGTTTACGAATCAGAGCGGTGATGGCTTCCATAATATACTAAATCCGCCTAGACTTAAAGGCAAAGTTCAGGCTCAGACCCACTTCATGAGCCTTTACTGTGGCTAGAAGCGCTAGGTACGCAAGTGCAGAAGCCGTTTTACTTCCCTCGTCGGAAAGCGCTACTTGGACGCTAGGTGCTAAGAAATTTGGCAGACTCCACCACTACTGTCATGTTCCGCCCACCGCTCGATAACTTGTCTGCGCCGCAATGTTGATCTGCTGGGCTCTCTCTGCTCGGACTTCTCTACCACTCTCCGCGCTCACATTATCTCTCATCTCCCTGCCGACTTTTTGATTTTCTCCGCAGCGTAGAGCAAAAAGCTCTTATTCACTGTGTTCCCACCTATTTTTTTCCTTTCCTTCTCCACTGACGGTCCGCTTCCCACTGCTACTTCCCCATTTGAGTGGAATTAACTCATCAATTTAATCCTGAGTTTTGCCTCTGAAGGCAAGCTTTCCATACTCGCGCGTAGTAGACAAGCGCTAATGTCGCGCCCCTTCTACGACCTTAAAGGCAAAGTTCCGGCTCAGACCCCCTTAGTGAACTTTTACTGTGGCTAGAAGCGCTAGATATGCGAGTGCAAAGGTCGTCTTACTTCCCTACGTCGGAAAGCGTTACATAGACGCTATTCGCTAAGGACTTTGGCAGGCTCCACAGTACTGTCATGCTCCGCCCACCGCTCGATATCTTGTCTGCGGCGCTAACTTGATCTGCTCCGCTCTCTCTACTTGGACTTCTCTACCGCTCTCCCCGCTCACATTATCTCGCATCTTTCTACCGGCCTTACGAACTTCACCGCAGCGCAGAGCAAAAGACTCGTATTTCTTGTGTATTTCAGAATATTGTCTCCACTGGCGATCTACTTCCCACCCTACTTTCACATTTGAGTGGCATCACCTCATTAATTTAACCCGAATTTTGCCTTTAAAGTGCGCGACGGAAGCGTTACAAGCTCACTCGACCCGCAATCGCACCTTTGACCGCAAACCCCACCTTCCACTGTCCAGTAAAACGTGACACTACGAGAGGAACGCGGGCGCAGTCGCGGCAGCGGTTGCATTGCGCCTAAATGTCAGTGGCGCTGGAAACTGGAGCAAGGCTCGTAATACTCGTCCAACACGCCCCTTCTCTCTATCTAGAAGGCAATGCGGCTGAAATAGAAGAGCTCTTATTCAGAGCACATTTGGGAGTTTCTCTTGCTTTCTTTTTGGTTTCCAGACCCAGCTTCATTACTGAACGTTCTTCCACATTCACTTTATCCCGAAGGTCGACTTCAATGCGATATTCATCCTCAACATTTCCTCATTTAGACAAGCACCCCGAACCAATGAGATCAACCGCGACCAGTGAACTATGATACTTTTTTTGTGAGATGATCCGTGAATCGCTCAGAAAAGTACACTACTCTTTCATTCTCTCCTAACTTCCGCCTTGAGATTGGGCAATTAATTTCTGCAGTCTGTTCGCGACATATGTATGTATACTGTAGAATACAGACACTAAAGGTCATAGACTTAAAGACATGGAACTCAAACAAATCCTTCGCAGGTACGCAAACCTCTAAATAACGTCCACAGACAAGATAGCCAAGCATACCTTGAACATCTGCGCCATTTTTGCTTGTTGCTGGAAGGAGCAGTGATTTTCGAGCGACAATATCACTGGCAGATCAGATGTTGTGAATGCTGACTTTTTTATTATCTCGACCACCTGGAAATTATATTCGTTAATAAACAAACAAACACCTACGCCTAAAGACGGAAAAAAAGCAACCTCCACCTCAGTTAGGGCCAAAAGTGTGCTGCGATTCGCAGCAAAGGGGGCTTATTCGACTAGATGGGGAGGGAGAGGGCGCAATTGAGGTGCATTCAACAGAGTATTCCCCTTGCGACACCTGTGACCAAGAACAATGGTCACAGGTGTCGCAAGGGGAATGTTCGCATGTAGAGCTCATGTAGGGCATATGAAAATACTGCGACTTTGGGCTTATTAACCTATTAGGACTAACCGTAAAAACACATGGGTTGCATTCCACAAATCAGTCACTGTGAACATTATTCAAGTGAGATGCATTGGCGATTCTAAAGTGAAATCGAGATATGGCGCATCCCGAAGCTAGATCAATCGAAAGCCGAATATGTGAGTTTCTGTTCTTTATAGGAACAAATAAGTACGTATGTTTAAGAGGCGTTGTTTTTGAACGGTAGTCCATGGAATGGCCTGAGAGATCTACGAGAGTTCATACAAAAAAACAGCCCTCTGCCTCATCTACATGAACGTATCATGCATCCTATTAAACTGGAGCTTCACAAAAACCTTGGGTGATTCACTTAGTTCTGCTCAGCGGCGGTCAGTGGGGCGAGTATAGCCGAGTAATGAGTGTAAACTCATGTCTACACCTTTAAGAGCCGCGAGTTTGATCCTGCCAGCGACGGCGCGGGATTGACTCGAAAGACAAGGAGAATGTCAGCGGCATCCAATGATAGTAAATGGAATCCAGTCAGTGTAGATTTTGCTGGGAACTGTTTATCCTTTTAACAGCTTCGACAATGCCAGCATATACCCTAAAATCCCATAGATAAGAGCGGTCCATAGATTTTTTTTTTTCAAAATAAAATAAATAAAAAATAATTTTTCAAATCATTTTTTACCGGTAAAATTAACGCTTTGTCTATGGAATTTACTGATCGAATGGTCTGTCAAGTTCTATCCATGTGATCAATTCCGGCATTTCTAGAGAGATTCGGCAGAAATTCCGTTTAAATCGCTATTTTTCTATATGAATTGTTTATTAAGTGGGCGGGGTTTAGAGTGAGGGCGGAGCTTCTTCTAAACTTTCTTACTCGATTTTTATTTATCCATCCATCAAGTTAGAGGGGTGACTGCATTCAATTTCAATTTCATTCCTAATTCATTTTTCACCGGTAAATTAAACCGCTCTTATCTATGGGATTTTAGGGTAATTTTTTCTGAACATTTTTCATGATTTATTATTCGTTCAATAAGCAGGAAATAGTACGCCCGAAATTGCTATTCCCTAGCTTTTTGCGATGCACCGCCTAACCCTATCCTTGGCACAAACCTTTTGCTTCGTTCCAGTTATTTGGCAGTCTGATTACGCACTAATGCTAGAGGAAATCTCTCGCTGTGGTCAAACGTATAATAAAAATATAGGGAGGGGATGAAAAAGGTTTTGGTTAGAAGTAGAGCAGAATCAGAACATTCAAGTACAACATCGAGATTCCAACGGCACAATTTCGGGTGCGCGCAAACTTGACTAAATTAGGCGCAGAATTCCATGGAAGAATCATCGAATGGATATCGTCCTCATTGCGCTGTGAAGCATTGGGTAATGTTCTATAAAAAAAAGACAAATTTCTGAAACAACCAACTTGACGGAATCCAATTTTGCTGACCAATGTATGACCGTGATAAATTAGTGGAAGGCCGTCATCACCATCCCAACAGTCCAGTTCCACACATCGACACCCGCTTAAAAGTACCTGAAACAGAACATGCGCGATTATCTCGAATCTGCGCGCTGCTGTATGGATATATTTTGCATTATAATTATAAAAAATTTCGGTGCAGTGCTAGTCAAGGGCGCAAGCCAATTTTTTATACGGTAAGCGCTAAATGTATATATATGTACACGTAGGGGCTGGTGCACACTGCTGACATTAGCCGTTTGGACACGGTGAGCACCTGAAGTCAGCGTGAATTATGATGTTCCTGCCGCAGCCACGTACAATGCGCGACGCATTGTACGTGGCTACGGCAGGGGCATTGTACGTGGCTGCAGGCGCTTTCTGGAGGAACAATCTTGCAAGTTACGCAAAACGTGAGGCTACCCCCGCTCTCCATGGTAACGATCCAAAAATGGAGAAGCGTTGCATCCTTCGCCTCGCCGCTTGCGCGGGCAGAGGGAACAGGGTCCTACGTGCCGCGCCATCCCACGCGAGACCAATCTGATATGCGTCCATCCTTCACCTTCTAAATTAACTGTGCTTGATATAGCTGGCGAGTTTGTTCGACGCGTATTCTTCTCGTTGAGAGATCGCAGAGAAAATGAGAAGTGGGAGACGAGCGCAACATGAAAATCGATATGTACCATTGCGCACCCCAGTGCCAACGCTTCAGCGCGTAATTGCGTCGCACATTGTACGCAGCTGCGGCAGGAACATCATAATTCACGCTGACTTCATGTGCTCACCGTGTCCAAACAGCTTAAATCCCCACTGTCATGACCTAGCGAGACCCTATGGTAATACCTCGTACATTGCAGCTTTTCACGCATGTCAATTGACTGCCCTCAGCCCTTTCAATTGGCTACTCCCTAGCTCATGAATTCCCTCGATTCCTGTGACATCATTGCAGTGCGCACCAGTCTCCATGTCCATACATTTCGCGCCTACCGTATTCAAAAAGTCGGCGTGCGCACCCGACTAGCATCCCTCAAAATTTTAATTGTTCCTAAGATTTCATATTGCCATGGGAAGATGGGGCATGATCACGTGGAAACTCATAGAAAAAAAGTTGTTCAGAATTTTTTTATGCTCACCTGCCTATACATTTCGGAACTACTTGGCCCTTTCAGCTGATGACCAGTTAGGTACGTATTGTGGCTAGAATTGATATAGTAACAAGAAAGGGGTAGATGGAGCTCATTCTCGTCCGGTTCAATGGTTTCAGGAACGAAGGCGAAGTTGACTGGATCGCAAAGAAACCGTACGAATCCTTCAAATGACATTTGGTTCTTTTGTCGGCACAATGGATCCGGTTCGTGCTCCTGCAATAACATTATACAATCACAAGTCCTATGCCTGGACCTCCACTTGTCTTCGCTCTTTCACAAAATTATACAGTTATATAAAAATAAATTGATGCGTGGAGTTAAAGTTGGAATGCACTTGATCTTACGGTGACATGTCGGTCAGACTCGGCGATTGCAACGAATGGACCAGCGACGGAACGACGCGATCGCCCCGTTGCTTGTCGCCCGCGTTGCGATCGCTCGCACTTGGGCGCGACGGGCGATTGCATTGCTCTTGCAATGTGCACAAGCGATGGGCGATGGCTCTGTCCGCGATCGATATCGCAGCTGACTGCGATCGCGTCGCTCCGTCGCTGGTCCATCGCGTTGCAATCGCCGAGTCTGACCGACATCTGAGTGGTCCTACCACATCCCCCTCCTCCTTGCACACCCTTTCTCACGGTTGTCGACCGGTACGACCCCCTCCTCATTAATAAGTGGAACTCCCTCCATCTCCAGATCACACTCCCCCCCCTCCCCCCTCCGACTCCCATCCTCTGCCATTCAAAATGTTAAGTTAAACTAAAGCGCTATCTCACTATCGCCATGTAGGGCATGGAAGAGCGAAAGTGAAGCCAAATTGCGTCATTTTGGCGGCCATGGAAAATGACATAGAGAAAAACTCAGAGGGAAAAAATTCTATTACCTAGGGACTGTCATAAGAAAGATGGCGGAGGACAACCGACAGGGCTGCCCGTAAAACCTCTGGGGACTAAAACACACAGTGCTCGAGGAAAAGCAATTGAAACAAGTCCAATGTTATGAACACGAATGTATAATTTTAATCCAGCTATCGCCACAATCACTAATGTCTTCATTACCTTTATTATGTAATCTCGGTTATGATAAACTTACTTGAATAAGCTTAGCTGCATATTCTTCATCTATCATTTCCATCTGGTGAGTGTTCACGAAAGATTTCAACATCCCTGGCGTAATCAAAGAAGATCTTGACGTATCCATCAGACCTCCCATGCTTAAAGAAAATTGGTGGAGAAAAAATTTCAAAACTTAGTGAAGCAACAATTGATAAAAAAGAAACTTTACTTTTGAGAACACAGTTTGGAATACCGCGAAAAACACGGGTTTCTCGTATTTGCAAAATTTTACTGTTCTTGTCTTTCTTGTTTTCTAAGATCAGAAGCGGGTCTGCGCACTTTTGAATCGTATGAGATCAGGACCACAGGTCAGTGAGGAAAGGCCAACAGCTCGATCAAATGCAATGAAGTGCCTACTTTTGTACGTGTCCTGGGACGCCGAACTGGCTCAGCTCAAATCTACCTGTACAGTTTGTGGGACGATGTTTTGACAGAACGTTCGGGTAATGAATTCCCCCCTTGCTTGCATACATGCAGTTGCATGAAGCGTCCTTACAAGCCTAACTAGATACAGTAGCGGTGGAAAGCGTTCGCCATAATGATTTTTCGTGTTTCCTTTTTTTGCCAGAGTAATATCAATGGTAGCCTCGAAAAAACTCTCTTTTGAATATCCTGATTCTTTAAGACATGAGGGTATAAAAACACTGGAAAATATGGTCTATCAATCTTTGAGGGGCATTACTCAAGCGAGAAAAAATAGTGCTCTAAGAACCGTTTCCGCAAAAACTTTTGACCGCTACTGTTTACCAACTGTTGAGGGCACTGTGGCGTACGTGGTAGTGGTATGGGTTAGCATGGAAAAAGCCGTGGGACCGACTCCTCGCGCAGCTCCATAATTCTTCTCAAAACCACATCTAGAAACCTTTTTATGATGCACAATTATCGATGTTGACAGTACGGAGAGTTCACTAGCAGTTTCAGGAGTACTTAGAGCACTTTTCCGATGATCGAATTTGGCTCCAGTAGCGCGCGTGCCTTACCGCACCAAAAGGGGTGATATTCACATCAGAGGTTCACCTGCTGGAGAAAATTCCAACCAAATTTAGGATTTCAACCATGGTTCGAAAAAGCGGGACAGTCAATCCAACGGTGGCACCGCCTCACAGTCCTTGGGTTGGCACTATTTCCGTAGGCGAGCCTTTGTATCAAAGATAATGCCATGTAAAAGTTGAGACGATGAAGACAAGTGGGTCGAAAAAAAAAACATTTTCTTTACAGATGGATGACTTCAACTTATGTTCATCCTTATACCAACCACCGATGGTTAGACCTATGAAGTGATGATGGATGAGCGGGACTAGCTCGAAATTTCCTAAATTGAGTCAAAATCTCGAAATTGGCCAGTAACATGTTCTCAGAGTCTGACTTCACGAACACCAACACCACTGTCGCTCTTGACGCGCGCGCGATGGGCGCACGCGTCAACTCCATTGTCATGAAATGAGCTATGATCTAGCTCGGGATTATGGGCTTTGGCTGAACTGTAACGGACAATCGGAGCCTGTTCACGAGCTATTCATTTGAATAAGGAATGAATTGGCTCAAAGATGAAACAGAAACGGTAAGCCCTAGCCTTTTTATAACTTTGAAGCTATAAAGATGTCCAACCTGTTAACACTAGCGATCACCAAAGCGTTGTAAATCTTGGATTGCTTTTCGCTTATGTTGTGCGAAGGAACAGTCGAATTCCGTGTGAGAAAATCTTTAATGAAGAAAAGTTGGTTTCTCGACTATCTGCCACATAAGTACTTATGTTTATGGTTAGACTATCTCTTTATGGAAATTAACTAACCACTTGAAACGAAGTCAGCATTACGTGTACTTGCTGCTCTGGAGGAATGAGTCTGTGCACGAGGGTACTGTCGCTCTTTATCCCGCTTTTGACAGTTTGAGGAAGTCGACGCCGCCAATAACACATCATTGAACACGTCCCTACATCACAGGTGTGAAAATGAATGGCTGTTAGGATCAAAAATATGGACAATTGAAAGCATATACATCTGAATACTAGAAGACATGAAAGCCTCGGTGAGCTCGCTTTCTTTATCATCTCAGTTAGTCTGGTGTCAGAGTAAGCCATCCGTCGCGCGACGGATCTCCGAAATCACAAGCGCCCCGACCAATAATTTGAGGCGCTCTCTAATCCCGCCGGCATTTCTGCTTGAGGCCGATGTCAGACTTAGCGAATCGCGCGATTCGCTAGCGTCCGCGGTCGCGTTGCGGTACCAGCCAACACTGGCCGCGACGCGACCGCAGACTTAGCGAATCGCGCGAATCGCTGGTAGTGAATCGCGCGAATCGCTAGTAGCGAATCGCGCGATTCGCAGTCTGACATTGGCCTGTGGTGACTTGAACGACGACTGTTCATAATTCTACTCGTTTCACCTTCAGTGCCTCAAATGTTCAGAGACACTTGCAATTTTTGCGATTCGCTCGACGAATTGCGGACTCGGACACCAGCCCAAAGCGGACGGATCACCGAATTCCTCTACGGAAACGCAAAGCTATCAATTTGTACCTCAAATCTTTCCTCATTCGTGTGCTAAAAAGACGGAACAGTTCCGCGAATTCAACGAGTGTCAGCGGTTTCTCTTGAAATTCCTTGCCAGACGAACCGTTCAAACCGGATACCTGAATTGACATCTTGAAGCTAACTCAGACTCCCTCAAAAGCAGCTCAACACTTAAAGGTAAGGTCCGGAATTTTTGGATGGAATAAGGCTTTTCCCGAAAAAAATGTGGTGGTACGCAAGCGGGCAGTATGCACGGAAATGTCAAGATGGTTTGACAAGGCTTTAGAATGTAGCATTGGCCCCGCCCAACACCAATAACCCCGCCCAAAAATCAATACTATCTCGCTTCGCCGCTACTGGGGAGAGTAAGTGTATTTTCGTCCTTGTCGACTGTCTCTTCCCGTTTTTGTGCAGACACCTCACATCCCCGCTAGTTACAAGTGACCATAACACATCAGTCCGATCCCGTACTTGCCCTTGAAGCGCAGAGGCTGAAACTCGTATTACCTGTCCACTACTACTGATCGATCCTGAATTCGGCGTTTCTCCTCCTCGAGAACGCCACGACTTCGTTGATCGGCCTCCAACCGAACGACCTAAAAAAACATATTTTTTCGACTCTAGAATTTTTCCATCAATAATCTCGGCATGTCATGGAGCTTCACTTACCCCCGTAGGAACTACTAGTTGGCGTTCTACTTCGAGGGGTGTAAAGGCTGTCCAGATCTCCGCATTCACTGGCCGCTAAGTCTGTTCGCGGTTTCAAGAGATAACCAGGCGAACTGGGTCCAGGTGGGCCTGACTGAGAAGACATCTGAGATTTGATAGAAGCTGGCCGCACCTACAATTTAAATAGTGTACGACGAATTGAGGAAAGAGGAAAGCCATCAGGGTAAGATGGTTGACTGAGAGTCTTATGAGGGAATCTCTCGAGGTTGATTGTGATGAAGGTCCTCTCAAAAAAATGACCATGGTAATTTCGAAATTTAGGTCTTCTCAAGAAAAATGACCACGGTAATTTCGAAATTTGCCTATCGTCACAATTGAGTGATAAAGTCAGCGGCAGACGCCTAGGGACTACAACTATGAAAGACTGCGAAATTTACAGGTGAATCGTCAACTTAGTGGATCAAGAGGGCCAACGGTATAGTAGTGCTTCAGCTAGAAGTAAGTGTGGTCTAGAATTTTTCAAATTGCAGCCTGCATTCTTCTTGAAATTAATGCTGAGTGGCACCGAAATTTTGGAAAATGAAGAGCATCGATCGATATGCTACACTACAACATTCTTAAATATAAAATCAAATATTAAACTTTGAAGAAAATCACGTTTGTTGCACAACTTTTGTTACTGGACAACTACTACTGGAAATTGAGAGTATTCAAACATTTGTAAGGTCTGATTTCAACTTACTAGTGGCGATGGCGGTTGCGGACTCTGAGAGCGGCTTCCTTCTTTTGATGTGCCTCTTAGCTTCTTTTGCATAGCGTTCTTGAAATTTTTCAGACGATTCTTCGTTCCCCCAGATTCAGTCAACAAAGATGAATCGTTTGGACGTGACGTACTAACGTTGACTTGATTCAACCCTGAACGATCTTACTTTGCTTAACTAGGCCACAATTGCTGATCTATGTAATGGAAGTAAAACAATGTAAAATCCAGAGTTGTGTACACATTTGGTAGACTGCTGGCATCTTATATTAGATTGTAGGTGCTGTACCGTCTTTGTTATGATAGCGCGGCACTTTTGCAAGCATTGCCCCGCCTTTTGGTCCTTAAAGGCAAATACCGGAATTTCTGGTCGGAATGAATCGTTTCCCGAGAAAAATGCAATGGTTCGCAAGCGAAGAACATGCACACAAATGTCGGGATGATGTGACTAGGCTGAAGCCCCAAGGCCTTAGGATGCAGCACTGGCCCCGCCCAACACCATTGCCCCCGCCCACAAATCAATGGTTCGCTTCGGCGCTGCTGGTGATGGGGACTCTACTTTTTCGAGGATTTCCTCTTGTTTTCCATTACTTACGTTACTCTCGTCAGTCTCTAGGATCTACCCGGAAAGTGGGAACAGAATCATCCCGCGAAGGACCTTATTTACTGATACAAATTTTAACATCAGGCTTTCCAAATCCTAGCAATTTAGCTTATAAGTTCATAGTATCTATTATAGAACAGGGTCGATGTGTTCAATGCTCATTCTGTAATAGAATATTCTTGACAAGGTGAACTGGAACATCATTTTCAAATTATTAAATCTATAAAACAATATAGGATGGGCAAAATTACTGGTGCACCAATATTTCGTTCGCATTTCGAGACTAACTTTCAGTAATTAGTTCTAACCATGAGTATTATTTGTAGAAAAGATGGTAGTCAGACAAGTCAAATTTGGCAACTTTTAAAAATGATCCTCTCTAGCCTTCACACATTTCCTTGGACGTTTAGAAGGCGCATTGCAGATGGCACGCAGGTATTTTCCAATCTATTTCGTTCCAGGATTAAAAGCGCTGTTATGAGAGGGGTCAAATTTGGGCATTCGATAGAGCAGACGCTTCTCTCGAAGGCAGCCAAACTTGAATTATAGCGGTCTGGTAAGGAAAACTGGAGAGACACTCGTCGATATTGATGGAGTCTGATATCTGCTCGGCGCCCCTGTTCCTGGACCAGTTTTAATCGGTAACCTGAAGCAAAGCCTCAGCTAAATTCACCTGTAGGCCTCTTCAAAGTGAAGAAGCGCTTACGTCTAACATATACCGAGTTTGAACGCTGCTTGAAGAATGTTTGAAAGTTTGAATAATCGGTGAAAATGCATTTCCATAGCGCTCCGTTGAAGTTTTCTGGTTGCTTCGCACGAAAGCCGAATCACTTGGTGATTAGTGCCTAGTAATATTTCCAAGCAACATTATGAATGAATGGAACGGAAACGTCAACATCAAGAACATTAGAAAGCCCAGAAACATATAGGCACCAGTATTGCCCCCCCCCCCTTTAGTACTGCACATTGGTGAAGCGCTGTGGAGGGTGGCAGAAAACTATAGGTCTGCGGAAAGCGCTTGTTGACACTTTGCCAACAAGGTATTTTCGGGAAGTTTCGACTTTTTTCGAAGATTTCGAAGCCATGTAAGAAAATTATGAATCGTTTGTTCCACTGTTGATTCGAGTTCTCTTTGGGGAGGGTTCACTGCACCGTCTCACTATTGAGGTACTGTACAAAAACGAACAAAGACGAACGGGAACTTAGACCCTTACGCCAGGTCAGCCTAAAAAAGCGGAAAAACATCTATTTTCTTTGGAAGAAGTCCTCGTTTTGCCAGTTGGACGAAATGCTACTACAGACCAATTTTTCCATTTTTTAAAGCCTCCTGCACAAATTTTTTACAGTCTCCTGCAACCAAACCGCGTAACCTATACAATGTGTGTAATTAGGCAGCATAATCTTAGGAAAAAATAGTACTGAGCATGATTACCGAAGCCTTTCCATCTCTCGACTCTTCCACCAAATGCTTGAAGCGCATCGTAAGGCCTCGGTCCGGCTATTTTCTCTCCAGAATGCTCTGCTGAACATTCTCTGTACAGTTGCAGGTACAGGGTTTTGATCCACATCATTCTCCGATCAGGATATTTCTGCTGTTCTTGAAGACTCCGAACAACCTGAATGTAACCATTTATTGTGGGTGAAAACAAAAAACACTGTGGAGTGATATGGCAGCTATTTTGACGGCATATGATCACAAATTGTGACTCTCGTGAACATCTAGGATTTTAAATGGTAATAATTTGTGTTTAAATGCGAAATCGTTGATATGTGCAGGGTAGAAATCGGTCGACGATGATTCGACGACTCGTCGAGGATTTTTGCCTGTCAGTCCGCTCCCCCGCGCGCATTTACTCTCGTCACGCGCGAGCTGTCTGTGCTCTCCGCGTGCACATTCACTCTCCATTATTCTCACACATTGCAGAAGTTAGGGATTTCCTTGACCGTTATTCACCCTGGATAGACGTATTTATATGCCTCCTGGAAGTGCTCCAGAACACCCTCTATACATCTACTACAAAAGAAATCACGATGAACTTCCAATTGAGAAACTGTCAGAATTGTGCTAGTTTTCTTTCTCACGATCCAATCTTCATTGCAGCCCCAAATGTGGCGTGGTTTGAGAACGGCAATTCCCCAAGTTGCTGTGTTGTTATCTGCTGCGCTTTCGTAATTCTTCTTAACCCTATTATCCTGGCTAGAGCCTGCCGATAACTAGTTTTCAGCTTCTGGTCTTTCGTTTTGCTCAAAATCAATTTATTTTTTGTATTGGTTCTGTGTTTCAAGCATTTGTGCAAAAGTTGCCTTCGAAGCAAGTACCACCATGATGTATTACAGCTAGAAAACGATGGTCTTTCAACGGTGTCAGTCAAGAGCTTGTGTTTCAAAGCAAGTTATGTTTTTGTGACCAACATTACGACATATACGAGCTAATCTGTTAAGTTTCCCCTGATTCCTCCACTATCTCCATTTACTTCATTATACTCATGCTCATTTTTAAGCCATGAAATCATACATGTACATGATTTAGGGTACCTGACAGAAGGCCCGTCGCGCGGCGACATGGCAGAAACGCAGACGGGTCGGAGGATGAGTCGCAGCGCGCACTATGCGATATGAGATGTAGTATGGTTCGCTCTATTTAATGTCTCTATCTCATGCTAAATCGATACAGTACGACTCGTCCGCTGACTCTGCGTCTCTACCATCTCGCCACACGACGGGTCTTCTGTTGGGTACCCTCTGCGCTGAAAATATCATATCAACAGTTTGAGGCTGAGCTCATCTGCAATAGCTCAACAAACTGTGCAAAGCCACGTCTACGGTGGGTAGGACGTACAGCAACAGTGGTAGCCGGCAGAGGCGAAAGCGCCTACTACTCTTCCAAAATTGCCTAAAGTTTCAGAAAAAATGGTTAGGAATGAGCAACGCTTCAACGGGATGATGAAGGATTACCAATGTGAGACGCTTTTTAGTTTATGGTTAAAATCAAGAAAATCAAACCCTTTGCAAGCCTGAAGTCCAAAATTGTGCTATTTGTTGGGGAGCAAGAAAGTACAGGAATTCACTGTCGGAGAGGAGCTGACCAAAGCCGACTTTCCAACAGCAGACTGGCACTGACATTTCTTCCACTGAATGCCGTCGATAAATTGACTGGAATGAATTACTACTCAATCATTCACAAATGACAGAATTCGAAATTCGGTTTTTCACCTCTATGTCCAAGTCGTAGCTATCAACTGGCTCAACCTCTTTGACCGCTGTCAACTTGAGCTCACCTTCTTCGAACCCAGAGCATGGCGTACCTAAAAAGACCTCTTATCTTGTGTCATTTCAGTTTTTGCAAAAGTTACCTTGCATTTTATTAGAGGACAGCTGTTGCGCCGTGCTCTTCATAGGGTCGGGAACCGTTGCAGGTGATGCATTCAGCACAGGTTTCGACATTGCTGGCTCCTCAAAACAGCCCTCTATTGACCACTGGAAAGATTGGAGGAGAGTGAGAGCCAACCTTCTCTCTGGGATCCTTCGCTGTTGAAAGACTGATTTTATGCCACGAAATTGCTCCACAACTTGGATCAAGACGTATGAGACAGAGAACACTTCGACCAGTATCAGGATCGTAATGAATGACCTGAAAATGCTCAAGCATTCCTTCCTAATCATGAACAGTGCCTGAAATGCTTTCTTACTGTCGTTCCGTGTTGCAGGCGCTGAATGACGTCCAAGTCAAAATTCGCCGCGTCCAATGGAATAAAGTTGACACCATGACGGGAGCCACTCACAGGTTGAACTGGTTCGTATGCTCAAACAGGTTGGTAGGATATCAGGCAATACACATATTTCAACTGAAGCAGCCACAACTGTGATCTGACATACCAGTAGATTTTTTGCCAGCGGAAATGCTTTCGTTGTTATTAGTAGGTTCCTCCAGCAATTTGAGCATGGTGCGGCTGTGACGGTGAAACAGTTCCAAATTGTCCAGCACTTAAATTACGGCGTAAAATATTGTTCTCACGTTAAGCAACAATGAAGTAACAACCAGTATTACTTAAAAAACCGTCCAGAACCCTAGAAGGACTCGTTTCTTGCTCGTTCGTCACCACTATGATGCGACACTCTAAAGTGTTGCCCTCTTCGACGCTAATGCTCTATTTGCAAAACGGTTAGGCCGATGTCAGACTTTGCGAATCGCGCGATCGCTAGCGTCCGCGGTCGTGTTGCGGTACCAGCCAACTGAGTGATTCACTGGCCGCGACGCGACCGCAGACGCTAGCGAATCGCGCGATTCGCAAAGTCTGACATCGGCCTTAGAGTCATTCGGCGAGGGGGTGGGCGGAGAGCGGCGCGGGTATGGCCCTGCTAAGCTGCTAGCGCATACTCATCGCTGCCAAACGTGCATCGTTACGCACCCTTAGCAGGCCTTATCGACTAGGTGTATTTTCCCTTTTCCAACTTCCGACCTTAACGTGGAATTCTCCTTCGAAGGCAAGTATTAGGATCAAACTGATGGGGCGGTTCACTCAAGAGCAAATTGGTGGGGTGGTCCCACTCAAAAGTGAAAGTAGGGATGAGCCGTCAGTGGAGCAAAAAAGAGTCAAAATTCTGAATACAAAGGGAATACGAGCATTTTGCTCTATGCTGCGGAGAAGTTTCAAAGACCGACAGCTAGGTGAGAGATAATGTGAGCGAAGGGATCGGTAAAGAAGCTCGAGAAGAGAGAGGGCATAGCAGATCAACACTGCGTCGCAGAAGATATCGAACGGTAGGCGGACCATGTTAAGTTTGGTAGAGTCTGTTGGAAGTCCTGGCGCCTAGGGTCCTAGTGACGCGCTTCGATGTAAAAAGGTGGCGCTACCAGAGTCAACCGTGCGTTGCGCAGTTCTCAACGGCACGTTGAGAGATCCTCAACGCATGCTGTATGGGCGGAGACACAGACGGCTCGAACATGCGAGTGTGAATGTTCGCGCGAGAGAACGTGTCTAATCGGGCGGAACTGCGCAGCGTGGCCGTTGAGAACAGCGCAACGAACGGTTGACTCTACGCGCTAACTTTGCACTCGTGCCCAGTATTTCTAGCTATGGTAAGGGCTTCTTAGGCGGGCCTGAACCAGAACTTTGTCTTCAAGCTGTTGTAAATGTAGGAAATCAGTCGTTAAGATATGTTATAAAAGAGTAAACTACTGGTGAATCAATTCGATGGAATAGTGGCTATGGTGTAAGCCCCTAATTATCAAAATCCCATGGGTCTTTCTGATCCACAAAACATCAAACTATGCATTTCAGACAACTAACATCGAACAATGCGTTTCAGACAGTTTCGAAAAAAGGTTTGTTGTTTTGAATGGTGTTATTTGAGCAGGAATACAGTACCTATTGCGACCAGGTTGATCTTATCTGCATTCAGAAGACCGCCAACGCCAATCCGAGACGAGAAGTGATCTTCCCCGTGAGGATCGTTCATAAACTTAAAAAGTAACACCATTGCAACCATTACACCAGTCAATGCTGAGCAAGAAACAACAAACCTCGAGCTTCTCTCTGTCACCTTCATGACCGATAACTACAATGTTGGGGAGATCGTTGACAATAGCATATAAATCTCTAAACACAAATCATACACCCTCAAAGGAATTGAATACTGTAACCCAAGGACGAACCTCAAAAAAATGCCAAAGAAAGGAATCAGTCTTGATTGGGACATTCGAAGAGCTCGCTGGATAGCATCGATGTAAGCTTGTGATGGCAACGCTTGATTAGACGGGAGAAGGATTTCGCATAACTGCAAAAAGGTCGTACTCTTGTCTCAGAACAGAGAAGTCCAGCCAGGTTATGAAAAACAAGTCACCTTCTCGTATTGTTGTTTCTCTTCTTGACGAAGTGACAACCAAAATGGCCTAAGCTTTTCGCTCTTCAGACCCATCATTATCTCGACAGCCGCATTGAAATTTGCTGAAATTCTAATGTAGCTCAATTGACAAGGGAAGGATCCCAGGTCGAAGTGGCCATTCGTAATGAAACCTATACTCACCTACGTCTTTTCGGACGCTGATTTCAAATCCGTCCTCCAAATTTGCGGAACGATTCTCTGAACAGAGTTACAAAGGTTTCAAATGAATGGCCGTTAGAAGAGACACGCACAGCCTACTGTAGGCAGCGGCGGCCTGGCTGAGTGGTAGTGGGGGCGCATGATGGTGGTGAGACTATGGTTCGGTTCCTGGTCATGATGAAATCCTTGCATTTTGTAATTTTGCTTGTTTTCAAGCTGAAAGATCATTCAGTGTTGAAATTACGCCATGAACGCTGTCAAGTGTTTGCAACGTGTTCTTTGTTGGTATCTTTGCCGTTTATAGATTGGTCTCTGTCACTGACAATGACGTCACTTTCTGTGACGTGGCAGTACCCCATACCCGACCCTGTACAATAATTGATCGAAAACTTCATAAAGAAATTATGTCGTACTTAAAGGAGCATGCAAACACGTTGCAAACACTTGAAAGCGTTGTTTATGGCGTAATTTCAACACTGAATGGTCTTTCAGCTTGAAAACAAGCAAAATTACAAAATGCAGAAACTTCGTCATGACCAGGATCCGGACCATGGTCTCACCACCAACATGCGCACCCACTACCACTCTGCCAGGCCGCCGCTGCCGGCAGTGGGCTGAGGGTGTCTCTTCTAACAGCCATTCATTTGAAACCTTTGTCAGAGAATCGTTCCGCAAATTTGGAGGACGGATTTGAAATTAGCGTCCGAAAACACGTAGGTGAGTATATTTTTCATTACGAATGGCCACTTCGACCTCGAACCCTGCCCTTGTAAGAGCAGACATTACCACTAAAAAGCCCACCTATGTTCCAGCAAGTCTCGATTATACGAAGAACAGCTGTGAGAGCAACTTTCCGGTCATCATGTGTAGGCTGGCTCACGATTATATGGGTAATCCAGGATGAGACCTGTACGAGAATCAGATCGTGGCTGAAGAATCACTTGAATGTGACTCGCTATTGAATTCGTGCTAAGGAACGAATCACACAGGCGTGGTTCGATAGCGAGTCACATTCGTACATATGCTCCATTATTTGGCACCACATGAAAGGTAAAGACAAAAATACGTATCACAGAGTGCAAGTTGCGACTTCCACAACATCAAGGTCCAGTGGATGATCCAAGATGGCCTCCCTCTTATCTCACAAGCTCTAAGAATCTCTAGGATGGGAAGCTTCGTTCACAATTTGCTACAAGTAGAGCGCTGTTCGTAGCGCACTGTGAACAGATTTGGGATCCCATTGGAAGGTACTGACAAAGATCCAAACTATGCGCACAAAATTTTGAGTTTGGTCTGCTTTCAGTGGTATAACGTTTGCGGGGTCATCCATGCGGGCAAAAAGGAAGTCGTAAGGTTGATACGGCGTCAACTGACCCAATCTGCAGAAGTTTCATGAGTTCAGGGAAATGAAGAGGCCATTACTGCAATGTGATTGAGCCGCGTAGGTTATTCTGACACCACTGCTCGCACCTTATGCGGTCGCATTGAGTCCCGCTCGGAGAACAGGCTTGGTTTCGAAGTGGAATTCAACCAGTGATGTACATGCTACTGATAACACGAAGGATCGCCGAATAATTTTGACCACAATAGCAACGAAGAAGACTTTCAGGCTGCTTTCATAGTTTGCGGTCCTACGAACCGTGCGCACCGCGCGGAGAGAGTGAAAAGCGTCAACACGCGCTCTGGCGACGATGCGAACTTGGCGCGCAGTCGGCGGCTTTCGATCAATGAATTCGGTTTCATTACCTTCTCCTTTTGTTTTTCAGGTGTTCCACGCGCCGTGTTGCTTTTGCTTGTGCTTTTCGGCGATAATCTTTTTCTTTTTCATGTGAATCATTGCTTCAACTGTCATAGAATGGTTAGGTTCATACAGTGTGTTTGAAAGGGGCAGTTAGCCCCAGGTGAGTTCATTAGTAAGCAAAAGCAGTAATCCATACAAAAAAGAAAAGTTTTGAGCTAAACAAGCGCAAGTGAAAGCAAATCGGCCCACAAAACGTCAAAAAGATAGAAAAAGTTTATCGAAATTGGGATTGTCGATCGGAGGGCGCCGACTGCGCGCGAAGTACGCATCGTGCGCCAGAGCGCGTGTTGACGTTTTTCACTCTACCCGCGCGTTCCGCACGGACTGCAAACTATGAAGGCAGCCTTACTGTTACTGACGACGCAGCTAAAAACCATGACCGCAAGTGAAGCCTTCAAGACAATCCCTCCCATGAGACCGAGGAAAAATGGCAGTCCTATGACCTCCAACAGACTGCGATATTGAGGTATAGCCTCTACAGAAGAGCATGAGACAATTCTGACGAGAATTACCTCCATCGCACAGTACATGTATGTGGTTCTTTTTTGTTTGGTTGAGGGAAACACATCGAGTATTAGCATATTGGAGTTGGTTTGCTTTGCGCTACCGTTCTGATGGGATTCTACTGGTACTTTTCTCTACCAGAATAACGAAGACTTTTCATATTGTACTTTACCATATACTTTGTCAGTACTTTTGCTGCATCTCGTACTGTATGCAGGTAAAAATGAATTTCCACTAAAAATCAATCAGATAATCTTTAAAAAAATTTTCCAACCTCGCTCAATCGCTTGACCAAATTCCGTACAGGACTTGGATTTTCCGAAACGGGCACTGAAGTGAGATCACAGCTCACGTACCGGACATAGTCCATCGGTTGTATTGAATAGAAGAGACGATACTCCGTTGAAGAGAGCTGAAAATTATCATAGGTGTCAAGCTTCAACCTCACCTGTGAGTCACTGATTGAGGAGAATATATCTATCTACATTTGTATGTACAAGTATACGTATGCGTTCACCTAACTTAACGCGAACCAAATAATATAGCTGGGCCTGGATATCGTATGGTTCCATTATTTAATCTAATTAAATAAATCGCCTTGTTATGGTAATAAATTATTTTGCGAAGGATAGGGTGCTACACGCTACAGTCCCCATTGTTTATTCCACCAACTATAACTTGGCGTGGTGAGTATGAATATCGACCAAATTGGAAAGCATGTTCAAGCCTTCTCAGAAATAGAGAGCCTATACAGGGTTTTCCGGAACTTCTTGAGATCACTAAAAACATGAACCTCTTGGCAACATTTGCGACACTTTCAAGAAACTAGTGGACCATCAACAGTACCGACCAAGGTGAAATTGTGTCGAAGACTTGGCCGCAGCAATACAACCCCCCTCTCCCTAAAATCGGGATCTTCATATTTTGATTTTGACTCCCCCTTATTTTGATTTGATGTGAACAAAGAGTTCCATTATATCAATTTTGAAGTATGCAGTTGCAGCGCTGTTTATCCCTGGGTCAGATTTTCTGTAGCCCGCCCCAAAACATGGAAATCTACACCGAAAAGCTACCATCCCTCCATTTAACCTTTTGAGCACGATGTTGTAAACTTAGATAGAGTGAGGTCCCCTACCACCAAACAGTATCAAAGTCGCTCTGAAAGATCTACACTCGGAGAGACAGTGACTCTCGAACTGCGTCGAGCCAGCGTCCAGAACTAAAAAATTTTGAGCAAGTTCTTACTGTTCGGAAGACTATATATCTATAATTATGGAGAGACATGGAAACAGAAAGACAGTTTTGAAAAGTGGAAGATTAGCCCTTCGCTCTCTGTTCAGTTTCAAACCATACTTCCTAGTTTAGAGGTTATTCAAATTGAGGATCTATCCAGGATGATTTTCAGCTTCTCAAAAGTCGCTACCTTGTTCGCCATTGCGAGCCAATTCGTTGAAAATTCTCGAAAGATCTTCAGAATACATTTTTGGGAGCTATTGCAATATGCGGGGTCACGGTGGTAAAGCATTTATAACCGCGTGAAGCATCTCCTTTTTGTTAAAAACTGGACTTCGCCTAGGGGGTGGAGGAGTGATTTAAAAGTGCGTGAGCTATTAACATTTTTTCGCGGATTTACTGCCCCTTTCTGGGCTTAGTCCCAAAGGATGCCGCTGTATACTGCGATAGCGCCCATTTTTGCAATATAAGGAATAAGAAGTGGGGTGATAGCCCTAGTCTGATCTGGTCTCAGTAGAGGCCACGGATGCGACTCTCAGTAATAATTGTAGATTCAGTTGAAAGATACCAAGTGATGGCCTGTTTACGAAAATTGTAATGTAGTAAACACATTTCGTATATGCGGTAACCTAAGAAGCAGCTCTTTCAGAGCTTCTATGACTTCCATCATTTATTGTGCTGCTTTCGAATACGTTCTTCCCATACAGCTAAAGGAATGGAGCGACTGAAGCTGCAAATAATATATTTTATCATGTTCCATTACAGAACCCTCGTTTTCTGCTGCCCTCCAGCATTATATGCGTCGCGGAGCCACTGATGTGCTCGTCACTGACCCCTCTGTTAAACACCGTGACAAATGCTAGCCCCTATAGGATCCCTTCCGAGATTCATCCTGGTATCGACTATTTGAGGGGTGACACTGTTTTATCATGCAGCCCGGTCAAAACTCAGTCATATCTAACAAAGGCTCTTCTTTCTCCCGGCTATGACAGGTTCCAACACTGCGAGAATTGGGATAGCGCGTGCCGAGGAGAAGGAAAAGGCGAGGGAGCATGAATACAAGCGAGTCCATGACGTGCATATTTCCTCTTCGGGATCCCGGGTGATGAATAGCCCGATGGGCAATCCTTAAGCAGTAGTGTTTCTGAATGGTGATTTGTGCTTTGAGTCAGTGCATCCTGTGTGTTAAACACTCGACTTGCCTAGGGCTGAAGCTTCGCTCTATTGACCTAAAGGCGGGGTGTGGTTTAAACATGAGAGATTGAACACGCTGAAAAATGCGGCTGATGAGTTGATGAGCCCTCAGGAACAAATTAATAGGACGACTACTAAGGTGATTGGGAGACAATCTCAAAAGGGCACGCAGGGGCAAGCAGAGGGAACACTGCGGCAGCCCTTGAACGCTTCAAAAGCCTAACCAGTCTCTTTTCATATCAGAGACCTGTCAGGTTGTAGAAGAGCTGTAGATTGGAAAGGTATGTAGAAAGTCAAGCCAGTTAATCAAGTTAATGTAAGAATAAATGCAATGGAGGAAAGTTTGCGCCACTATCGTGGCTCAGACATCTTCTATCGAGCTACCTAAAACCGGCTAACGACTTGGCTATAACGTTCTTTGCCAGCGTTTTCGTGATTTTTCTTTCAGAGCTATCAGCCATAAAATTTTATTTAAAAAATTCAAGAAGAAGCACTTTCGTGGTGACAACTTAGTTGTGGGGGAGGAGGCAATCCTTCCTATCTCATCCGCAGTACTAGAGGGCACTACTTTGGACTATCCAACACTGTGGATAAGATAATCAGTGAACGACTATTTTAAGTGTACTTTTGATAAGGACCGGTGGATCTCGCCACCCTGTACATCCTGCACCCAACGTATCCACTTTTGTGAACAGGGATCATCCACCTTGGAGCTCCTCCACCCTTAGGCTAGTGCCATGCTCCGCGATCCGTCGCGCGATTCGTGCGAATGGGAATCGCAAGAATCGCAAGCGCTCCATTTAAATATTCGAAATACTGAATAAAGAGATAACTGAGAAATACTGAACAAGTAGAATAATGTACAGTTGTCATTCAACCATCACCATCAAGTAGAAATGGCGGCGGGATCGCAAAGCACCTCGTAGTATTGATTGGGACACTTGTAATTTCTGTGGTCCGTCGCGCGATTCGCACGAATCACACAACAGGTCGCAGACCTTGACACCAGCCTTAGGCGTACGCAGAGATGTTCATTCTCCTAGTCCAGCACTCCTTCCCACGGTCAACCGTCCGTTGGACAATGATCCACACGCGACGACAGCAGTAATGCGCGGAGACTGAAATGTACGCACGGAGACACAGACGGCTCGCGGTGGCGAGAGTGAAGCCGGCGCGAGAGCGTTAACATTGTCCAACGTCGCTCCAATATCGGTCCAACGTAATGGTTACCCTGCACCTTCCTGGCATGGCAAGGTGAAAAATCAAAAGCATCTTCAAGGTTCTGCCCGTGCACAGATACTTCTCAAGAGTAATACTTCAAATGAATGGATTGCGTGTCATGATGCGCTCTCACCCTTATCCTGAGTTTCGGAGAAAAAAAAGGAGTGCCCACCCCCCCCCCAAACTGGGTTTCACCATTTTCATAATACTGCTTATCAGCGAATCTACCACGGAACATGAAACGAGCTCACGAAAATAAAACGAACCTGAAACGCAACTTCTTCAGGAAAATGCAAAATGTACTGTAGCCTTCCAGCTCCAGTCGAAATAACGTGATTGTTCTTCATTTAGCACAAACCTGTTGCTGCTGACGCTGTGGAGGCCGTTGAATTGCTACGGGAAGTCACTACTAAAATCACAGAAATTCGATAGTAATGCTACATGGTCACAAAGTTTCTTAAAAAGGCCTTCTCCCTTTTGAGAAAGGGTTTCTGTTGCTGTTTCTCTACATATTTTCCTACATTTGGGCATTCGAAGAATTCAGCCATTCTGAGCCACACATACATACATACAGCATACATTTACAAGTATTTATATATAAATGTATTACATGATATATGTGTGTATAAAACTGTTTTATAAGAAAATCGTTTTCAGTCGTTTCGGGATTTTTAGTCAAGCGTCACATGGAAACAGCGATGGAGAGAAGCATGCTTCCATTCCGTACCGTAGGGTGCGTAATTGCAGAAGCAGGGTACACGTGGCGGCTGCCCCCGCGCGCTCTTATGTACATCTTTATCTGATGTCACGTGTGCTGCTTAAACAAATTGCGACATTGAGACGCGGTACGCGTCTCACTTTGCGCACTCGTTGGACATTGAGACGCGTTATCGCGTCTCACCTTTATCATCCCTTTTTCTAGGGCTATGCGCAGCTTTTCCCGAATTGTTTGTCTCTCTTCTATGGATTAGAACATAACATTATTGTGAACGACATAGTCATTGTTTGTTCAAATATGCTCCGTTTAGAAAGAAGTTTTCCAAGCCTCACCAAAACGGCGGGCTTGGTTCATTAATAGTTTTCATGCTATTCTTCTAAACACGTCAATAAAAAGGGTAGTGAAAGTGAATGCAAATCTAACGAGACAGAAAAATACATGCTTCATTTGGTATAACCACATCAAAAGCACTTTTGCATCACTACAGATAAACTGACAAAATTTCCTTTTCATTACCATTACATGTTCTTTTAATTCGGAACTTCGTCACTATATACTCTATTACCTTCTACCATTGACTGTCACTGAGATGATTTTACCCACTGGTGCTTTAAAAAGTTATCAATAAAAATTCACGGATCCGAGGTGCGCGGTCGCAACTTCGCAAATCGGCCCGGTCCCACACGGCCAAAAAAGCCAAAACGCGCGCGGTCTCATTTTAATGTGCACTTACGACACATGCGGTTACGGGGAACAAAGTACGCATTTGTTCAGTGTGTAAGGTTCTGCAAAATAGGGATAAATGGTACTAAATGAATAGGATCAAATATCTTAACCGTAGTAGCGCTTCTCTTTGCTGTGCAAGTGAACATAAGTTTAAGGGAGCGCAGCTTTAGGTGGAACAGGTACTAATCTGGGACGTAGATGCGCCGTCTCCTTGCAATCTGCTTAGCTGGGCCAAAACGATTCGCACTGTGTGGCACCCAAGAGATAACCTGGGTAGCCGTTATAATAGTAATGCCATTCTCGATCGATGAGATATTGCCATTAGATGGGGCAATTTGACCTTCCCAGTAGGTTGTGCCTTATGCTTATCCTCGGAAATTTTTGCAATGTTGAGATATAGAGCCATGAAAACTGATGAGTTGTTAAGAATATTACTTGCTAAACGAGCTGAATATCACTGAACCTTTCTACAGCCCAAGAACGGCAACAGTTCCTCTCGTCATGTTTCTTATCGATTATCAAAAAAACCGTTTGAAAACAATATTTTGATGAGGACGAGTAAAAAAGTAAAGATCAAACCCAAATGTTTTATGTTTTATCATACATATACATATTTCCAAAATGTTGAAATGAATCAATTTGGGAAGTTAATAGAAGGATCGATCGATGAGGTCTAAAAAGTTAAAAGACGAGAAGAAAGGAAGTCAGATGAATATGGTGTGACACCAATCCCAATAAGAACGAAGGCAACGATGTGCAAGGGTACCACTTTTCACTAAAATATCACAAACTACGTGGAACTGGAGGGAATCCAGAAAAACAACGCTTAGCAGTATTGGAAGTTAGAGTATACCTCGAAGAGAAGTGACAACACCGCGAGGCATTGACCTCCGCAGCGTAGGGTAATGAAGAGGTCAGCTAGCGATTGGTCATTGGCTAGCGATCACGAAGGAAAAAAACAAGTAAAAACAAAGTAGTATTTGGGTAATAACTCATATATCATCGGATAGCATTCATCACGCCGAGTACAACCGTATAAATTTCAACAGTAGTTCTGTATTCTCCGTCCGTAAAATTTTGTTCAAAGGGTGAGGTATTGTCTGTTATCTAATTTACCTTAACGTTTGTTCATAAGCCATTATTGCCATTATACGGGACAATATGTCATATTCTTGAAATAACCATTCGATTCGTTGATCATACATTTCGCCTAAGCGCAATTTCTGAAGGAAAAGAAAAGTGATTGTGCTCAAAGAATTTGACGTATACCGATATTCAGAGCTAAATTATGTAAGAACCGCTTTGCTGCATTCTAATAAACAACAAAGTTGTTGCACAATTACATACCTAGTCCAAGATCTTGTAGCCGTTTCGTCGTATTTCCTCCAGACTTTGATGAAATACGCTTTCAAAATTTGGAAATGTCGTAAAATTGAAGAACTTGTTCGCATCGGGAACGACTGTGAAACATGGATAAAAATGCATCAAAAAAGGAGGAGTGCGCGAGCGGTAGACTACTGTGCACATTAACATGAGATCTAATGATGGTGTCCTACCTTAAGGTCAGAATTGGATTCTGCCCCAGCTTAAAAGGTAAAGCTGGTGACCTACTTAACCGGTCCCGATCTATAACACATCCTGGAACTCGTTGTGAGGAGACGTATCTATAGGAGTTTAAATTTTTTCCGTTTCATTCGCTTTCAGCGGAGTTACGGTAGTGCGACGGTGTTTGACAGTCGCGACTGTCAATCACCGTCATTTTTTCACATTCTGTGAGCGGTATTGTAACTCGCTCGCACACTCCTCCTTTTTTGATGCATTTTTATCCATGTTTCACAGTCGTTCCCGATGCGAACAAGTTCTTCAATTTTACGACATTTCCAAATTTTGAAAGCGTATTTCATCAAAGTCTGGAGGAAATACGACGAAACGGCTACAAGATCTTGGACTAGGTATGTAATTGTGCAACAACTTTGTTGTTTATTAGAATGCAGCAAAGCGGTTCTTACATAATTTAGCTCTGAATATCGGTATACGTCAAATTCTTTGAGCACAATCACTTTTCTTTTCCTTCAGAAATTGCGCTTAGGCGAAATGTATGATCAACGAATCGAATGGTTATTTCAAGAATATGACATATTGTCCCGTATAATGGCAATAATGGCTTATGAACAAACGTTAAGGTAAACTAGAATTTTACCCTACGCTGCGAGGGTCAATGCCTCGCGGTGTTGTCACTCCTCTCCGAGGCATGTTCGGCTTCCGAATACCGCTAAGCGTCGTATTTCTGCCCCTTCAGATTCCTGTGGTCGGAAGGAGTGAGAAGTGATCCGCTCTAGCTTAGGCCGTGGAACGCCCGCAAATCCTCCTGTGGCACAGCAATGCAACGTTACTGGAATGGCGCTCTGGGTTTTCAGATTATGCCGGATTGGGGCACGAGAGGGAGCCCATTTAACACCTCACTTAATTGCATTCGTTCTTATTAGGATTGGTGTCGTATTATTTTTTGATTTCCTCTTTTTTTTCTAGTACCTTGATTTCATGGGGTTCCCCATTGGCCAGTCGTTGTATTCAGTTCCCTCAATTTATCTCATTTTGTCAACTTGATATGTCCACGATAAAATATAAAGAGTGATGAATTTGGGTTCAATCATCTCTTTTTTATTCATCAATCTTTTCCAAATTCTTTTTTTTTGCTGGTCTTGGAAAATGTTACGAATGGGAACTGTTGCCTAGTCTAGTCCATGGAAAGGGTCAGTGGTAGGGTCACGTTCTTCAGCGGATAAATATTTCAAGTATAGTTAGCATGGTTCTATGATATATCTCAACACTTTTCTAAAGTTCTCGAGGGTCGCATGGGCCAACCCTACAGGAGGAGCTGTGCCACAGCTTGCTGTGCCACGGGAGGATTCGCTGGCGTTTCACGGCCTACGCTAGAGTGGATCGCTTCTCACTCCTTCCAACTACAGGGATCTGAAGGGGCTTCAGAAATACGACGCTTAGCAGTATTCGGAAGCCGAACATGCCTCGAAGAGGAGTGACAACACCGCGAGGCATTGACCCTCGCAGCGTAGGGTAATTACGGGGTCGTCTAGCGATTGGTCATTGGCTAGCGATCACGAAGGAAAAAAACGAGTAAAAACAAAGTAGTCTTTGGGTAATAACTTATATATCATCGGATAGCATTCATCGCGCCTAGTACAACTGTATGGATTTCAACACTAGTTCTGTATTCTCTGTCCGTAAAATTTTTTTCAAAGGGTGATGTCTTGTCTCTTATCTAGTTTACCTTAACGTTTGTTCATAAGCCATTATTGCCATTATACGGGACAATATGTCATATTCTTGAAATAACCATTCGATTCGTTGATCATACATTTCGCCTAAGCGCAATTTCTGAAGGAAAAGAAAAGTGATTGTGCTCAAAGAATTTGACGTATACCGATATTCAGAGCTAAATTATGTAAGAACCGCTTTGCTGCATTCTAATAAACAACAAAGTTGTTGCACAATTACATACCTAGTCCAAGATCTTGTAGCCGTTTCGTCGTATTTCCTCCAGACTTTGATGAAATACGCTTTCAAGGAAATGTCGTGAAATTGAAGGGCTCCTTCGCATTGGGAACGACTGTGAAACATGGATAAAAATGCATCAAAAAAGGAGGAGTGCGCGAGCGGTAGACTACTGTGCACATAAACATGAGATCTAATGATGGTGTCCTACCTTAAGGTCAGAATTGGATTTTGCCCCAGCTTAAAAGGTAAAGCTGGCGACCTACTTAACCGGTCCCGACCTATAACACATCCTGGAACTCGTTGTGTGGAGACGTATCTATAGGAGTTTAAATTTTTCTGTTTCATTCGCTTTCAGCGGAGTTATGGTACTGCGACGGTCTTTCATAGGTGCGACTGCCAATCAGCGTCACTTTTTCAAATTCTTTGAGCGGTATTGTGCTGATACATCGACATACCACTCCACAAAATTCTTGCGAAACTTCCGCAAGGCGAAATGCGGCCAAAAACAGCTGCTGACAAACAAAAACAAGTCAAAATCAATTGCTAAAGCGCTCAGCCTCGCGGTTCGTTGCCGATATCGGCTAACCGGCTCATTACGTTATACTGTGGGTTTTGATAAGCGATGGTAAAAAACGATGAAAACCTAAGTTGGGGCAAAACGGTGCCCAGAGAGCGTAACCTCTAGCGCACTTGTCCGGTAGCCGAGAGGTGCGAGTTCGAGTCCACCTGGGGCGAAAGTTTGTTCATAGCCCTTTCTTGTGTTCAAGAAAATATCGTAAGCACATGCTCCCGCCTTGTATCTTGTCATGATTACTGTTTCCCATACAACTTTGGGTTGAAGGAAGAACTCGCTAAATGCCGAAACGTTGAAAGGTCAAGGTGTATGAGCCAGATGTCAATGTGGAGGTGCGTCCGTGGAAAAGAAACAAGCGAAATGGTCAAAACCTCGAGGCGACAAGAGCACAAGAATTGGCCTCAGTTCCTCCTGGCGACATCAACACTCAGCCTGACTCGAAGGTCGTCTTCAACGCGCCATACGACAACAAGCACACCTACCACATCAAGATCATCAACGCCTCCAGCCGACGTATTGGATGGGCTATCAAAATCACCAACATAAAGAGACTTGGTGTGGATCCTGCCTGTGGTGTGCCCGATCCCAAGGGGGCCACCCTTATGGGTGTCTCCTGTGATGTTCTCGACTACGGACGTGAGAGCACCAATATGGACCGTTTTACTGTCAAATGGTGCAACACTCCTGATGGAGCTGCCAAGCATCCCGTCGTGAATGGTGTCAGGGAGATGGTATGGTCCGACGAAAGAACCTCCATCGAATACAATCCTTGGGGTTTAATAAATTGGTTGCGTAAAAAAAGCGACACCCGTCTTTTCCTACCGGTGATTCGACAAATGTACAAGTACACCTGGGGCTTCTGTGGCCGTTGCAACTATACGTTTTGTAATCAAACTATGTATTAGTATTTATTTCATATGTAATCGTTACCATAAAACACGTGCGCATAGTGGAGCTATCCATACGCGATATCGAGAGTTGAAATTGGTAAGATATCAAAGTGAGGCGGCTTAAGGGCAAAGTTCGGGCTCAGACCCACTTAAGGAGCCTTTAGGGCAGCTAGAAGCGCTAGGTACGCGAGTGTAGGGGTCGCGTCACTTCCCTACTTCGAAAACCGTTATTTAGACGCTAGGCGCTGAGAACTTTGACACGCTCCACCTGCTGCGACACGCTCCGCCCACCGCTCGATATCTTGTCTGCGTTGGAATGTTGACCTGCTATGCTCTCTCTACTTAGACTTCTCTAGCGCTCTCCGCGCCCACATTATCTCTCATCTCCCTGCCGGCCTTTTGAACTTCTCCGCACTGTAGAGGAAATGGCTCGTAAAACCTAAGCATTTCACTATCCTTTTCTCTCTTCTGCACAGTCGATCCACTACCTACCCCTACTTCCACATTTGAGTGGAATAACCTCATAATTTAATCCTGAACCTTGCCTTTAATGTGGAAGGCACTCATGAGGAAAAAATCCCCAACACCTCAGAGCTACGGTATGTCTGAATTCCGTTGGATACTATTTTGCACCTTATAACTGCGCTAATAGGGCGCTTTCTGCTGTGAAAGCGCCACATGTCGTCTATCCTAAGCCCTCCTCAACCCAGTCCACTAGTCAACTTTCTCTTTCATGGACATCCATTTTAACGCGAGCTTTGCCTCGAAACAACGGCTTTCCATCATACCAAAATTTCACTCAATAAGAAATCACCTGCAAAGGGAGCATTAATCTCAAGAGATGTTGGGTATAGCATATTAATTGACATTCTGTCACAATGACGGAATTGTGTTTCGATGAAGTAACGGAATTTTTGGCATGAGAAACAATGCGTCGATGCCGGGCAAATTTCAGAATTCAGGTGATAACATGCTAAGATCACAACGACAGCATAGTATCAACACATTGGAGATCGCGCGTGTTTTACTTTTTGCGGCCACGTAAAAATTCGGTAAGTTTTTACAAAACATTAAGCAAACTGAGATGAAAATTCAACCATATGACTAATAAGGGAGCATTACGAATAAAATTCAAAAGAGAACGGAAGAAGTAGTGCATAACTGGTGGACATGGCCTACAAAGTTCCAAGTGCTACTGCAGTCCACATATGGGCTGCACGATCCCAACGTTTTAGCGCTAGCCAGGGAGCGTGCATATCTTTTACAGGCTTGGGTAGCGATTTTTTGAGTGAAACATGTTATATTTGAATGCATAAAGCTGATCTCTGCTTGCAGTTATGTAGCTAGCGCATTGGTGAAGGCTTTTGGACGAAAGAAACCTTGATTCAACCCCAATCAGAAATGTTGGAACAGAAAACTGGAATTTGAGCTTGCTTCAGGACTCCTCTTGGGTTAGAAGAGAAGATTTATGGTGGGTTCAAAAGTGATGGTCTCAAGCGGGCAAAGTCTTAGCAGTCTCTGCATCGAATTCTGTCCCTTGTGACACATTTGTTTCCGTAGGTGCGCTTCAATATGGCACCCGCCTTGGTAAATAAAAAGGTGACGTTACACTTAGCAATGTAAAATTGCAGTGTCGTCAATGTGCTAAAAAGAGCGTGGGTGGAGGCGTGATGGTTCACCACCAACAAGATTTTTCTTCCTTTCAGATTGACCGAACAATTCAACTTTTCAGAGCAGTTCAGCCGATACAAGGGGCGCTGCCACACAATACAGGGGTCTCATATTTATGGCGGGTTCTAAAAGCAGCCCAGGAGAGGGCAGAAGCTTCGGAGAAAAGGAAAATTGCTTTCGCACCTCAGAGCCCCCCCCCGTAAAGCTAAAGCCCCGTTAACAACAAAAAATGGTGTTGTACGCAGTTGCAAGGCTGTGTCACCACAATGCACCCATATGTTGCGATAGCGCCATGGAAGGTTTTTCTGATTCATAAACCTTCAACATCCACGTCTTACTCATGTACGTGATTCCAGGAGCAGCAGACCTTTCGAAGGCCTTTAAATTATTAGATGAGGTGTCAAATTTATTTTGATAAAAACCTCACTTCAAAATGTTTGAAAATTGTTTCGATTTATTTTTACATAAAAATATTTCTCATTACCCGCTACAACGTTTTCGTATTTTCTAACAAATTAGCGATAACGCCATGATAATACCATTTAATTTCAAAAGGACCAATTCGTTTTTGCACTCTTCATCTTTTCAAGACTATGCTCTGCTTCATCGATTTAAACAAGGGGTAATTAGACCGTCAGTCCGATGAGATACTGGTGGTGGAAGGGTTACCCATACTAGCAGTGGAGCAGTGTTTCTCTCAAAGTTTCTACGAAATATAGCCCAGCGCTAACTCGACGGCCACAGGGGAGAAGGGTTTCTGTGGCATCCATTTGTGCTCTTTTGAGAAATTTCATTGTTTTTGTTTCTATATTTCGAGACAGCCATCCCAGAAAAGTATGTTAAAGTTCGACTACAAGCTCTTCCAGCGCTGTAGTGCCTGCATAATTCATTGTCATGTGTATTTTTTTTGAGTGTTCGGGGCGTCATTTTTGCCAGATATCAAAATAACAAGATTTAAATAGCTGAAGCTAATATCGACAATGGGATGCGGTGAAGCCTGATCACCAAAATTTTCCCCAAATTTCAATCAACATAAGCTGAATATTTGTTTGAAAAAAAAACAGAAATTTTGGATGGCGAAAAATTTGCATTTTGAGCAACAAATAAACAAAACAAATAAATTATCAACAATGGCGGAGGAAAATTCATACAGAGTCATGAAAAAATTATTAGGTATAACAGTATCAATAACGATCAGCCATCGAAATTATTGATGAGATATAATTTTTTAAATGTGTTGAAAATCACTGAATCTTTTGGGCCTTTGGGGCTTGCTGTAATCCCTAAAAAAAATTGCGACCGCCGTTGTAAGTCAATTTTGGCATTTTTTTCGTATTTTTTTGCAACCTGTCTAACAACTGCATGAATCGTGACAAATATAGTTTTACGAAGTCTGTCAGAGGGAAAGGTCCGAACTCATTCACATTTTCGTTTATTTTTTTTGCATTTTATAATTGATTATGCACACATAGGTACATTTCAAAAAGTTGAGAATCCCCAATAAGTCGAGCAAAACCTGTGCGCTTTTTGTGAAGGCGTGATTCACTATTGGATCACGCAGTCGCCAATCTAGAACACTAATAAGAGTTGTTGTGATTTGCGTGGTATGCACCCTATTAAATTTATGAGTAGTTCTAATGGCTTTGACGTGGGTCATATAAATTGGTGAAGATTTGCAACTTCCATAGAATATTGGCTGTCGCCGAAATTCGTGGTAACATTCGTTAGCTCCATTCTCAGTGGACTTGATATGTTTATTCGCCAACGATGTTGCCCGGCACTCTCGCGAAGGGCGTTTTCTAGAGAAGGAAGCATTGATTTCAGCTCCGTCCGCGGTTGTTGTAGATGGCATGACATAACTCAATCCGGACCACAACTTTCTTCGCGAAATTTTCCACAATCAGGAAATCTGAACTTTAAACCGAGACAATGCTATGCTTTCCAGTGGAAAAGGGCAACTCTGACATAGCAGCTGTACGCGCCAAATTAGGGATGAGTTTGGGAGCAGGCAAATATGACAGATTTCTGCATCGAATTTCAATTTTAGGGTAATTGAGAGTGTCAAAGGGAAAATGCAGCACACTAATGATAGGCTAAGCAAGGAGTATCATCGAATTTTGCATGAAAGAAGAGACGATTTCAATGAATTTGAACGGCTTCTATCAAAATAGCGTGGAGAAACGTGATGTATTGAAAAAAGAGCGATTCTAATGCAATCTAGGGAATAGTTCGGTAAGAGAAGGAGAACATTGTTCTGACCTACCTAAAGTGCAGACATATACGAGTAAGCTGTCAGGATCAGGTGGTATTCCATCAAGTTCGACTTCTGATGAGACGGATCGGTTCAACACACTTAGAAGTCGTGAAACGACCGATGCCATCGCTGGATTGTTCAGAGAAAATGACAATAGAATTAATAGCCGTATAGAGACTAGCTGTCTCTGAGAATAGAGCACGGGAACAGAAGGAATACTGACTTACATGGGCATGCGCGGCTGAATCGTGTTCTGCGCTAGCAAAAAGTAGGCGGAGTTGGAATACTTCCCTGGGGTACTCGGTCATATTTTGCACGATGTCGGCCGATCACAGCGACCGTTATTTGGCCATAATGATAGAGGTGCTTTGTTCATCACCAATGTGGCTCGATTTCTAATGAAAGTGGGATTTTTTATGGACTTCAATGAACTTTTCCCATCCGTGGTGGGAAGCGTATCTTTCTTGCATTGAACATAAAATTTCTGTCAGATAAACATAGGATTAGAGTTTTAAAAACTCACATTAGCACTCGACGGCTTAATTGGAGGGTCGCTGTTGAAAAGCAAAAGGGCGACCCGAGTGGGGGGGGGGCTGGACGGCTACACGACAACTCTTGCGCAATGATCTAAAGCCGACTTCGCGCTATAGCCGGGTATCACGAATTCGGATGGAGAAACAATTTAGTTTTTTTTTCGATTGGGATATCGTCCACTAAGCGCGAGTGAACCCATCATGCAGCCTGAATATACTGGCGTGCAAAACTTAGGGACGAACATAACATTTCCGTGATATGTTACGGCCGAGTAACATAGCCCGTTAGAACTTGACCATACATCGAAAGAACTGCTGCAGTACAGGCAGGGTCAACCCTACGTTGGGACAAGTAC